GCATTTATTTTAATGCTCTACAGCAGCCATCTCCTGGATGAATGTCATTTTCTCTGAATTATTGACTATACTGATTCTATTTTAGGATGAAAATATTTTAGACTCATTTTTCTAGTTTAACTAAGAGTAAAAGTTAGTATGCTTTCTGTTCCCCTCATTACCCCTTTGTCTTGGTTTTCTGACATAAATAGGATCTTTCTTCTCCAAACTTTTACCTTCATGGCCTTCAGACACATTGGGTCCCCTTAAGTACACTTAGTATTTTGCTCTAGAGGGAAATGTTCACACACAGATGGGGTCATATGCCAACTGTGCTTGTGTGTGTCTGTTTTATACAGTTGGAGTTTTGGGTTCAAATGTTAGAGTGAAACTATCCTGTAAGATGCTTTCTTAAGTCTTTAAGTATGTGGATTTTCATGTTTCTTCCACTTACCAGTGCTGGTTGCTTTATTTCATTGGTCAGTGCTGCCATGAAGGAATGTATGATGTTCTGTCTAACTTTGTCCTGCAAACTGCAGTCAAGAAAACTTGGTGCTATGAGCTATCATGTACACACTTTCCCTACTCTTTAATGAACTTAATGTCAGCTAGTGTATGCTGCCTGGATGAATTTTACCATGACATCTTATTACCCCATGGGTTACAAAGAAGAGCAGGGACTCCATGTAAGCAAATTGTCTTGCTAATTCAGTGATATTCCTTCAAGTATCATGTTCTTTAAGTTTGAATGTTTATATACATATTATATATATATAATATTATATAATTGATTATGCTATTACAGTTGCCCCATTTTCTTTTCTCCCATTTATTCCCCTCCACCCTATACCACCCCACCCCTAAGCATTCCCTCCCCACCCCCTTAGTTCATGTCCATGGGTTGTACATATAAATTCTTTGGCCTCTCCATTTCCTGTACTATTCTTAACTTCCCCCTGCCTATTTTCTATCTACTATGTATGCTGCTTATTCCCTGTACCTATTCCCCATTCTTCCCCCTCCCCTCTGTTTTATGTTCATAGGTTTTGATCTTCTTCTTTTTCTTAGATAAGTCCCTTTAACATTTCATATAATAAGGTCTTGGTGATGATGAACTCTTTTAACTTTACTTTGTCTGGGAAGCATGTTATCTGCTCTTCCATTCTAAATGACAGCTTTGCTGGATAGAGTCATCTTGGATATAGGTCCTTGCTTTTTATGACTTTGGAAACTTCTTTCCAGCCCCTTCTTGCCTGCAAGGTTTCTTTTGAGAAATCATCTGATAGTCTTATGGGAACTCCTTTGTAGGCAAGTGTTTCCTTTTCTCTTGTTGTTTTTAAGATTCTCTCCTTATCTTTAATCTTGAGTAACTCAATTATGATGTGTGGTAGGGACTCTTCAGGTTCCTGTTTGGGCACCAGCTGAGTTGGGAGCGTGGATTCTGAATCCCACAGAGCTGTACTGAGGGTTGTCACAGATGGTGCGGGGCGGGGGAACAGTAAATCGTTCCGGGCACTTCTCTGTCTGCCAGGAGAGGGGGCAGCTCTCCCCTCTAGTGGAGAAGGTCCTAAGCCCCTGTGTCCAAAGGCTTTTATTGAAAGGGTTATCAATGGGGCTAGGTAATAGGAATGTACAGGTGATCTCATTATATCAGTATCTTAATGTTGAAAGAGAATAGGTGATGTTTTGAAGAAAACAAATGGCAGAAACACACTGATTTACATGGGTCCGAGAGGAGACAAGTAAACATGAGAGCATAAACATAAGAGCGCCAAAGGGTTTAGGGTCAGGGTCTGTGAATAATGTGAATTTCCTTCCCAGCATGAGCTGGTTATCATAACTTTTGAGGGAAAAACAAAGAATGCTTTAAAGAATTTACTTCTAGCCCTGATTTCCCCTGGGAACCCCCAGATCCAGTTTAGGGCTGTCTCCAGTATTGTTTCAAACCTTAGCCAGGCAGGGAGAGGGCAAAGCAGCTAGGAAATATGGAGACTTCTTTCAGAGAGAATGAGGACCCTGACTATATCAAAGCTGAGGGGTGAGGGTCTTTTTGCCCTTTTTCCATGTCCCCCAAGTTTTTTCCCTGATGCCCATTGCTGCTGTGCCTGTCTCAGGTTGCCCCTTCCATTGAGGGGTCTTACCTGTCATTGACTAACCAGCCATCCTCCAGGTCCAAGCAGGGTGATATGCCTGGGGGACAGGTTTTGTCTCCTCAGTGTCCTCTTTTCCCAAGGCCTCCTTGATTAGCTCCAGCCTTGGAACCCTCTCGCCTGTTGGCGGGACTATAGATCCTGAAACCAGACGGAGCATTTCCCAACAGTTATGTGCCTTGGTGTGTGCTTTCTTGGGTACAACTTCTTTGGGACTCTCTGAGATTCCTGGATCTCCTGGAAGTCTATTTCCTTCTCCAGGTTAGGGAAGTTTTCCTTCATTATTTTTTCAAATAAGTTTTCAATTTCTTGCTCTTCCTCTTCTCCTTCTAACACCCCCTGATTTGGATGTTGGGATGTTTAAAGTTGTCCCAGAGGTTCCTAAGCCTCTCTTCATTTTTTTGAATTCTTATTTCTTCATTCTGTTCTGGTTGAATGTTTATTTCTTCCTTCTGCTTCAAATTGTTGATTTGAGTCCCTGTTTCCTTCCCTGTACTGTTGGTTTCCTGTATATTTTTCTTTATTTCACTTTACATAGTCTTCACTTTTTTCTCCATTTTGTGACCATACTCAACCAATTCAGTGAGCATCCAGATTACCAGTGTTTTGAACTGTGCATTTGATAGGTTGGCTATCTGTTCATCGCTTAGTTCTATTTTTGGAGCTTTGATCCGTTCTTTCTTTTGGACTATATTTCTTTGTCTCAGTGTGCCTGTTATGTTGGAAGGGGTAGAGCCTAGGTATTTGCCAGGGTGGGGTAACCCAGGTTACTGAGTTATGATCCTCATAACTTGGAACTTGATGCTGTCTGTGGGGGAGGGGTCCGAGAGGGAACAATGCTGGTTGCTTGGCTCTTGGCCGGCTTTTAGTCACTTCCCCCACTACCCACAAGCAAATTGGGCTCTTCTGGTGCTGATTCCCAGGTGGGTGGGCTTGTGCATGTTCTAGGACCCTGTGGGTTTCTCCAGCAGACCCTCCTGTGAGGCTGGAAGTTTATTCTGCCACCACAACTCCCACAGATTTTTACCCCCAGAGGTTTTGAGGCTTTCCTTTCCTGCACCGGAACCCTGGATTATGTGGTCTCTCTTACTCCCCAGCTGTTCCTCTGGTTTAACTGCACACAAATGTGGGACCACCCAGGCTGCCAGCTGCCTCACCTGCCGGGTCCTCCAGCTGCCATGTTGCCATGCATTCTCCCTGTCCTGGATGCCCGTCTCTGTCTCTCCTACTGATCTGGATGAATATTTCTTTTTTAAATCCTTGGTTGATGGGCTTCCATACAGTTCCATTTTCTGGCAGTTCTAGTTGCTTTTTGTTTTTAAATTTGTTGTTGTTGTTCTTTTTGTTGTGCGAAGAGGAAAAGTATATCTACCCATGCCTTCTGTCTTGGCCAGAAGTCAGTAAGTTTGAACTGTCAATGAGTGGTTGCCATATAATTTGTCATGTATATTTAATACCGTGAGCAGAAGGCGGCTAAAAATAAGTCTTTTTGTAAGGATGACTCTAATCATTATGTATTTGGAAATCCCAGGCTGTTGTACCATGAGAATGATCTTCTCCAAGGGAGTGGTAATAAATGGCATGTGGGACAATTTCCTGCTCCATCCAGTGACCTCAGGTTGCTATGTTTTTCGAGTTGTCAGCTTTGGATTTTTGCGTTGTCCTTCCAGGACTGGTTGCTGTCAGGTCTTGCAGCAGTGCATATGCCTCTGGTGTTCTGTCTCCTTAGCTCTTCTATGTTGGTCCTTCTAATTGGTTGTGTATTTGAAACCTGCTAGATAACCTTGCTAGAATGCATTTCAGTGAGGAGTTGGTTCAGATGCATGCCTTCAGAGAGGTAGCTCGGAGTTGGGCAGGTACTTTGATTGATATGCCTTTGAGCAGCCAGAGGAGGTGAGGTTCATTTTCCTCCTTCAGGTTCTCAGTTTATGCCTTTGAATTATTTCATCATTCATTGATTGTCTGCTTCGTGTTATGAGCTAGGAACATTCAAAGGTGAAGTCAATATTTTTACTGTTCTCAGAATCTATTCTGGGGATAGGTATACAAGTACTTAAAGCCAAGCAGATACTATATAATGTAGTGTTAAACACCATACTGTGGGCTTGGAGGAAGAAGAGTCTTTGTGGATTTGACCAGGTTTAAAGGAAGATATAAGATTGGATGGGAGGGTAAGATGGGAGGGATAGCTTAGTTGCTGAGAGGCTGTCCCAGGTGGAATCAAAGTGTGGACAAAGGTGGCCAAATAAAGGGTTTGTGGAAGGAATGGAGTTTGTTCAGGTGTGGCTGGGTAAATGTCTGTGGTAGGCATTCAGGGAGACACTGAACTGCTGTTCACATGCTTGTTACCCAGGACATGTTTTATAGAGTCAACCTTCTACACTGAATCAATTCTTTGTAGTAAGAACTATAGAGCATAATAAATCCTTGAATAATAATTCTGCCTTGCTTGTGTGAGTTGCCAAATGGATGCTTGCCTCCACCTTCCTCTTTATTTCAGTGTTCATATCTTACTGTGTTTGGAATGTGGACCTCTGTCTGTTTTGTGATCTTTGAAACATTCTGTATATGCTCACTGTGTTTGTAGCATGTAGCTCCTAGAAGGTGGGTAAATTCATTGTGTGAAAACTAATCGAACACATATATGTTAAACTTTGAAAACAAAGATCTCATTAGAGTTTTTTTCTTAACAGGTCTGTCCTTTTATAAAAAGAAGCTTTGTATGCAAGGGCCAGCATAGCATTTACCTGTTCTGAATTTTGAAATGTTTTGTTTTTAAAACCCCTTGTAAAATATTTGAAACTTTGTGTTTTCTTGTTTTTTAGAATTTAAACCTATAACTCATAGTAGTGTTTTTCTTTGTATTTATAGTACAGCCAAGTACAGCGTGTTGACATTTCTACCTCGATTCTTGTATGAGCAGATCAGAAGAGCTGCTAACGCCTTCTTCCTCTTCATTGCCTTATTACAGGTAATGTTTCTTAAAAGTTTATTTGAAATTCAGAACCTGATTACATGCAGAATGAGATTTTGCTGAAAGATCATTTACCTGAAAACATGTCATAATACTTGAATGTAATTTCCTTTCTTCATCAAGTCATTGTTTGCATGAACAAACACATGATCTTGCATAAAGGCAGACTTATTAAAGTATGCCTTAAATTGCAATTACTAAAAGAGTCATTGAAAAATAGCCTGAGAGCCTTACTTTCTAACTCTTTTTGTTCTACATATAGCAATATTGGATAAAATTTTTAAAATATGTAACACACTTAGCTAGTTTTTTAAATAAAGTAATTATTTTGGTGTGGCAGACATAGAAAAGAACTACAGAAAAGTGAGTGGTGAGTGTCATTTTTCTTTAGAGGCTTTTAATTTGTCAACTTCCCTCTTTTGGTCTCTTGCAGCAAATCCCAGATGTATCTCCAACAGGAAGATACACCACCCTGGTGCCGTTGATCATTATTTTAACAATTGCAGGCATCAAAGAGATTGTAGAAGATTTTGTAAGTTTTTACTTTCAGATAATAAAAACCTTTTATTGAATATAACATAACTCACTTTTTACTTTGGGTTATTTTGGGTAAGACCCATCTTACACAGAAAACCTATTGGTCTATTGCTTAAACTAGCCTCTCAAAGTTCATGATGGTACTTTTATGTGGGGAGAGGGAACATGTGCATACAGTGTGCTTAATACCTGTACAATGACACAGAAGTAGTGAAGTAGTTCAAACTATGTTTTCTAATGTTAGTTTCTGGACCTTCTTTAGTTTTTATCACTGATGTTCCTACATCCTCCTGTAGAGTTTGCTAATTTGGTGGCACATGAAGGACTGTATTGCTGTCCAACATATCAACATTGTACTGGCTGTGCCTGAAGTAATTTGACAAGAATCTTCTCCCTCCTTATACTGATCTCAGTGTATCTCCAATTTCATTGGCTACAACCATATTCATACTCTCTCCCTCCTCTTTTCTAACTCTATGCTCTTTCTCCCCTCCTCACCACCTATACTTAGAGTATCTAGCACATGTCAGATGTACATTTTTTCTGGGAATAGGTAAACGAATAAATGTAAAACAAATCAAAGCAAAGCTACTTTGCCCCAGAATTTTTTATCAATAAAATGAATTCAATTGTTGTTGTGTTTATCATACTGAATAATTCCTTCAGTCTGATGAAAAATAAAAGAGGAGTGATAAGTTTCATATTTCAAGGTGCTTGTTCATTGTTAGAACTTATGTACAGTAATTAAACCAGAGTAGATGACATATCTTATATTTATTGCACTTGTCTACTAAATTAGTGAGCCATGCTAGTCGCAAACCATTGAACTAAATTGGAGAGCATTAGCATTGTAGGCAGTTGGTTCTTGCCCTCCCACCTGCCTTGATCCTTTTTGTTTGGTGTTTCTGTTATTCATTTGGAACTTTTGAATCTAAGAACTTTTTTTCTTTCTGTAACAGAAGCGACATAAGGCAGACAATGCAGTTAACAAAAAGAAAACCATAGGTAAGATACCAGCCTGATCATCTTTTTCAGTAGAAAACCTGAGAATAAGGAATTTTAAACAAGTAGTTAATGGTATTGAGATAAACTGGGGATATGATCTATAAGTACTTTAAATAAATAGCAAAATGATAAACAAATGTGATAACACATGAGTCCTGGCAATTAAGATTTGAATAGGACTGGTGTATTTTAGAATATTAGAAAAGGTTATAATTTTCGGGAACTAAACATATTTTATATCAAAAAAGTCCAAGCATTCATATCCTTGGTTTGTAATTGCTCTCTACTTCTCTCTCTCTAGTTTTTATTGTACTGGCTTCTAGAACATTAGCTATATTATTGTGGGGTTTTGTTTGTTTTGTAAATATTGTAACAGCAGGGTAATTTTTCTTCTTCTGGGTTAAATATGAATAGGTTTAACTTATGTACGTACAACTATATTTATGTGCATACATTAAAACATGTATGGTACATAGGTACATATATTGGGGCTCCATTTTAAGGACTGGTGGTATTACATCTGTATGTGTAAGGGTATGGTATGTTTGAATACTTTGGAATTAATAAGTGGAATTTTAAAAGGAGCCTTTCAGATTTGGGAAAGCTCATTTTGATTATCATCAGTATTAACTAATACATCTTTTTTCTTTTTCAGTGTTAAGAAATGGCATGTGGCATACCATTATGTGGAAAGAGGTAAAAACTATTTTTAAAGAATACCGGAAAGTATTGAAGACCTGTAATTAATTGCTGGTATTGTTTACAGTATAAAGTTTATGTTGACATAGGTCATTTCCATTTAATGTAAGTTTTGTGTTGTGGAGTTTTCTCATGAGGATTACTTAGAACTGATGTATGTTTTTATTCCCTGTGCTTTCTGGACAGTGCTCACTGTGTCAGTAGTTGTGAAATTCACTGTCCCTGATGGATGTTTCTGAAATCTCAAAGCATTTTCTAGCTTCTAAGTTCAAATTAAGAAACATTTTGCTCTGGCTGGTGTGACTCAGTTGGTTGGAGTATTGTTCCATAAACTGGAAGGTCACAGGTTCAACCAGGGCACATGCCTAGGTTGTGGGTTCAGTCCCTGGTGGGATTTGTATGAGAGGCAACCAATTGATGTTTCTCTCCTTTCCCCCTCCCTTTCCCCCTGTCTAAAGTCAATAAGCACGTCCTTGGGTGAGCATAAGAAAGATGAAAAAGAAACACTTTCCCTGGTTTTCCATTCTCTTTACATCAATTCAACTTTTTAAAGGTTTTCTAACTTTTGGGATTCAATAAGTGGTGGGATAGGGGTTGGAAACCATCCTGCTTCAATTCTGAGGCAGGGGTGGTTGGGTACAACCAGTAGTTGATGCTCTTAACTTTACAGTATACAGAATGGCTTGCCTCCATGACCCTGGAGGTATGAAGTCTGCAGGGTTTGGGAACTGTGTAGTTTTTTTTGTTGCTTATATTGATGAACAGAAAATTTAGAAGAATTATTTTGTGCCGTCTGCATTTCTTGTGTCTGATAAAATTAGCTTTTTAAGTGGGTCTCTGTTTTAGCTGGACCTTCTTAGAAGTCACAGATGTTTTTGGGGGATGACTCTCTTTACTCCACTGTTCAAAGCTGGTTTACATGATTTCAAAAGAAAATTACTTGTTAGAAGGGTAACTTAGAAAAATTTCTCTTGCTAAATGTTTAGTAGGCAATGTTTAAAATTGCTGCTATGATCTTTTAATCTGCAAAAATGCCTGTGATACGGTAACTGCTGTCCTCATTTTAGTTTTTGTTTTGTTTTTACTTTATTATCGGAGCCCCTTTATAGTGTTTTATGATAACACCTCAACCTTGGTAGCAATCCAGAAGTCCTGTACTGCAAATATTAATTGACCTCACTCTCATTGGAGGTGGGGCGGTTCTTCATCAAGGGGTTGGAAACTCTTGACATCACAGAGAGTAGAAATGCTGTAGAATGCAAGGATTCCCCTGGCATTTAGGAATGGCCTGTTTCTCTAAGGTTCCTATTGCCAGCCTCCTCCCCAGAAAGGCACTAATACTGGCTGGAGTAGAGAACAATGTGGATTTGGGATGATGACACTGCTTGAAAGAGCAAGAAGTGCAGTGATGATCTCTCTCTGGGCCTAGAGGCTGATGGCCTCGTAAACTCCTCATGCACATTTGGAGGAAAAAAAACCAACAAACACTTGTTACTGTGATTTGCCACATGCTATTTATTTCAATTAAAAATATATTGTTTGTTTATTTTAATGGAACTCTAGGCGTGTACCAGACTGTGTTAGGCATTGGGGATGCAAATAAGTAGCTTGGCCCTACTCTTAAGGAGCTTGTTTTTCCAGTGGTTGTCAGACTTCAGCAGGCAGCCCAATCACCTGGAGGGCTGAGCCCCACCCTCAGAAGTATGGATTCAGTAGTTCCAGGTGGGGCTCTAGAATTTGCATTTTTAACAAGTCCCTAGTGAGGCTGATGCTGCTGGTCTGGGGACCACACCGCAGAACTGCTGGTGGGATGGGAGTGAAAGGCAGCCAAACAGTGTGCAGTGCAGGTGCTGAGCTCTGGGTGGGGGGTGCTTCAGGTGCTCTGGGGACACCGGGGGGGGGGTGTCAGGAAACGCTCCCATTCTGAGATGCTCTAGTGTCCTCTTCAAGGATGAACAGAAGGCAACTAGTTTAAGACAGAGGCCACAGGGTGGAACTCCGAGATGCCTGGGAAAGCCAGGCACATCTGCAGAGCTTCTCAGAATAGGATGAGAATATGGGAGAGGACAGGTGATGAGCGGGCAGTGGTAACAGGTGCCAGAGATGGCAGGCACAGTGGAACTGACTAGCTTGAAGCTTCCCAAAGCAATAACCACTAATCTGAACTGCCAGTACTCAAGTCAGCAATCCCCAGGATATAGCTGAACTGTTGATAAATGCTGAGAGGCAGCTCTGGGGTGGGTCTTGACAACTTTGGTTGACTTTGAGAAGACTTTTGGGTTTATTCTTCAAAATTAAGAAACTGGAGAAATCCTCTGAGGCTAGAGTGAATTCAGGGATCTTGGCGGGGGTGGGGTCCCTTCACCTTAAAATGTCTTGCCCTAGATAGTTTCACCCAGTGAAGGGATAACTGGGTATAAGAACACCAAATAGAACACCAGTTTCAACACTTGGAAGTAGTTTCTCATGTACATGCAATTTCTTAGTACTTTGTTACTGGGAGATAACTGCTTCTTTATTTCAATAATAAAGATGGGAGAAAGCCCTGATTTCCCTTGTCCTCCCATTTTGAATTAAAAAAAATCTACTGATTTTTTTTCTTTTGAAAACGTGGCTAATTTTCCTTTCTAGTTTTTAAAACTAATGCTTCTTCTGATTTTGTTCTATGTAATTAAACTATTCACATAAAATATTTTTACACCTAAAAACCATTTTCAATTTTCATGGGTACTCCTTGCTTTTGTACTGATGCTTTTAAAATAGCTCTGTAGCATTTATTCTTTGACATCTCTTTGTTATGGAAGATACTTTAATTATATGTCTTCCTTTTGCCTTAAAAACAAGTCCTAACTTCAAATGTACAGTGGTTCTGGAATTTAATTTTTACCACCTTGTCCTATGCTGAGCCTGATTCCTCAGGCTCCCTCACACACTTTGATAAGCGACTCACAGCACTTGCAGGACACCTTTTAGTAAACCTTCCTTTTTTAATTGAAAATTAAATGGCCAGGGCTGTTCTCCCAGCTTGCAAGCTCCAGTGGTTCTTCACAGGTATCATGTTATGTGAAATTCTTGATTTCTAAGAGAGTAATAACATGGGTTAGAGTATGAAACCAAAAACTTAGTGCCCATTTTGAGTTTCGAATGATTAGTGTCCTAGGAACGGCCTTTCTTCTTGTGCTGTCCAAGCATTCACCATCCTTTACTTTCACACTCATAGAGCCCATTCACTTTACACTCATGCTGGTAGAAACTAGCACTTACTGCATGCCTGTTTCATGCCAGGTGCATATGTTTACTTCTTTAATCACTGTGTCAACCCTACAAAGTCAATGGTGATTTGTCTCTGTTTTGTAAGTGATGACATGGGAGTTCAGAGAGGTGAAGGGCTTGTCAGGACCCCAGAGCTCGTGTGCTTGTGAAGCTGGGATTTGAGCCCAGGCCCACCTGACTTGAAAGCCCACATTCCATCCAGCCAGGTGCTTATGTGATGTCATTTAAAGGATTTATAGCCACTTGGCCATGGTGCTCATTTTCTTCAGACTAGGGCCTGTTTCCTGGCTTGGAATCTTCTGTCCAGGGGAGTGTTTCCTGTGGTGGTCTCTGACTTTGGCCATAATTATTTTTCTGGCAATTTCTGGAGGCTACATGAATCCTCTCTTTTATGTGGTATATTTCTAGGGGATGTTTTAGGAGGACTGTTCATGGGTGAATTTAGTATTGCCTTTTAATCAGACCACAGGCCAGACCACTCAGTTTTAAATCTGGGTTGCGTAACCTTGATTAAATTATTTTGCTTTGAGCCTCAGTTTTCCCATTTGTAAAATGGGGAGATTTATGTGTTTTAACTCAAGTGGCCTCAATGTAATCCATGAAGTGGGTTCTGTTGGTTTCATTATATAGATGAGGAAATTGAGACACACAGACTTTACAGGACTAGTTAAAGGTTACACATGGCTTGTAAGGAGTATGAACAGCTGGGGGATTGAATTCAGAGCTATGTACTTAACCAGTCTGCCCAACTGCATACAGCTGTGGCACTGCTCCGCAGTTCAAGTTGTGGAATTTGTAAGTGGATGAATAATAGGAAAAAGAGACCTGATCGTCCTGACTCATCTTTCTCCCCTTTCCCTTTCTTTTTTTGTTTCCTTTTCATTCAGCATGGTTGCAAAGAGGCAATAGTACATTTGTTTATTTTGAAAGATTATACTTTTATTCTTGTCAAGGAAAATAATTTGGGCTTCTCCATCTTAAACTTCATGACATAGTTATGTAGTAAATTTTTTTCAAATACTTAACCACCTTTATCACGATTTGTGCTTTCTTTCATGCTTCTCTGTCCTTGCCCCCGGTTTTCTAGGTGACAGTGGGAGACATTGTGAAGGTCGTCAATGGACAGTATCTCCCTGCAGACATGGTCCTGCTATCCTCCAGGTCAGGTGCGCTATAATGCGCACATTTTTTGAAATAAATGTTAATAAACAATAAAATATTAAATGGTGACTGCTGACATCTCAAGCCACCCCTTCCCTTCCACCCTGAGTCACCAGCTTTCTCTCTCTGGCCTATTCTTGCATAACCTGTCATTTGCTCTTTCCTGCCTTAATCCTAAATTTTCTTTGTCCTATTTATTCCCTTGTTCCTTTTGGGGGGGCTTTTTCACATTCATTTTAGTTTCGTGGCTATTTTGGGCTAATCCTCATTGTAGGAAAACATGCAAAAACATTCAAGAGCATTGGAGTGATTTCTCCAGCCACCTTCAGGAGGCAGCATGTCTGAGACATCACATCCAGTCTCCTGGGGTCGGAGGGGGAGGATTCAGCTGACAGTCTCTCCTGCAGAACCCTGTACTAGCTATACAGAGAGCGGCAGTCATTTTCTTAGCATAGCCATGAACTGCAGATGGTGTTTCCTCTTCATTCATCGACATTTTGCTCCCTTTCTGCCCAAGTATTATTGCCATGCTTTCTAGGTAGTTTTGTACTAGAAAGGTATCATCACTAAGTGGCTTTAATATGCAGCACAGTCCCTGACTTCTTTTTGGTTTGATACATAAGATTATATGTCAAAGAACGAGTGACAAAATTACAGTAAGAATAAACTTCTACTCTTGAGTTCGAGATTAAATGACATGAAGTTAAGATGGAAACTTCTTATATTCCTGTTGGGAATCATAGGTGCTCACATTCTATGCATATTCTTTGAGTTGATGACAATGTTTCTTATATTGGATTTGATCACACATGAGATTTTAAACCTTAACATGAATTTTCTGCTCGAGATAAAAGGTTTAAAAATAACCTTGTGCCCCTCGAGGGTTAAAACACTATGTAGGTATTCATGTTTGCACTAAGCACTCATGTTTGGTTACGAAGAAAATCTTAGTACAGTGAGGATCACTTGAGAGTTTGGGGTCAGAGTTTTGGCTGTGGTCCTCAGAAAACCTGGTTAGAATATGAGATTGTTTTTCTGAGCTGACATCTTGTCTTCAGAGTGGTCATTAGTCTGCACTTTGTGTCAAGCAGCCTGCTGACTACATTGTTCCAGTTAGTCTTCACAACAGCCCTTGATATCCTTGTTTTACACAGAGAAAGCAGAGAAGCAGAGACATTGAACAACATGCTGAAGCCATGGAGCTAATAGATGTAGTACCAGGAGATCTTAACTTAGCTGGCGGGTGGCATAGTCCATTCTCTTGGCCACTAACTATGCTGCGTAAACCCAAAGATTGCAAGTAGTAGTATCTGCTCTGCTTAATTTTTATTTTTTGAGTTTTCTGTCCTTAAAATCAGATGTTCTGATTAAAAAGTTGCCTGTAGACAGAGTAAAAAAGAGCAGAGCCATAAAGGCTTGCCTTGATTCCTAAACCCCCATGGCTGTAACTTTCTTCAGAAAATGGGTTTGTACTGGCTGTGCCTGGGGAGGCTCTTTTGGTCAGAGGAGGAGGCCAGGACTCAGACTTTAAGGGTCACCCATACCCACTGGCTAGAACATCATATGTTTTCCCTAACCTGCCCCTCCCCTTCTCATTTACCCTCAGTTATTTCTGTTACATGAAGTCAAGCAGCCATTATATGGGGCCCAGAAGGGCAGATCATTTGTATTGGTGTTGAGCCCCTAAGATGAGTTTGTCTTTCTACTCAATTACTGCTACTAAAGTGGTTCTTTATACAGTTGGCCCTTGAACTACACAGGTTGAAGTATGTGGGTCCACATACATGTGTGTTTCATTCAATAAATACCATTTTCCGTCCATGGTTGGGAGTCTGGGGATGCAGACGGCCAGCTATATGCATTGATCTACAGCCATTTTATATAGGGACTTGAACATCCACGGATTCGTATGGGAGGTCCTGGAACCAATTGCTTGTGGATACCAAAGGACGACTGGGGGTAGTTACATTTATGGGGAGTTAAAAGTTAAGCTTGGAATTTTGACTATGCAACAGGGGTATAGGCTCCCCTAACTCCTTGGGTTGTTCAAGGGTCAACTGTAGCACTATTTCGAAGGGCTGGTCTGCAGAAATAATTTTCTTAATAGAGTCTCTATAAGCTGCACATTTGTGGAGGGACCTTACTAAACTTTGGCTTTTTATTTTTTTCCTCTCTCTCCTTAGTGAACCTCAGGCAATGTGTTATGTTGAAACAGCTAATTTAGATGGGGAGACGAACCTTAAAATACGTCAGGTAAATTTACCTTTTATGACTCATGTTGTCAAGGAGGCCCGAATCCAGTCCCCACATGTACCAATCAGTGCTTTTTCGAGAGGAAAAAAAATTTCTGCCCAAAAGGTTATGTCTTAACCCTAATGGAAGCTATAGGGAGAATGTGCCTTTTATTATGAAAGGAACTCCTTAAGAGTGACGGCAGACCTAAAGAGGTGGGCTTCACCCAAGAAGGGGTCAGGAAAGGTGTCATGCCTTAACTTAGATCTCACTGGGCTCTCTGCCTGCCGGTGCTCCTGGGGAGAGCCCCTGCAGGTTGAACTGCATGGTGGAAGATGCAGCACCTATAGGGAGAGATGAAGTTAGGCAAACAATGGGTACCTCCCTTTCTGTTGTTTTAACTGAGATTCTAATTCTAGAGAATGGTATATTAGATAGAAAATTTACGTCCTTTAAATAAAGCTATTCTGACTATATTTTAAAATTCAAGGATGAAGAATAGTCTTTACTATAATAAACATCTGAAGCATTTGCCACTTATTTTATGCTGCATAAAGTTGAATTTGATAATTCTGTTCACATCTTTCTTTTCTACCTCAAATATTTGATTTAGACAGTTGAGTTACTGTGTGCTAGATATCATACTGTATTAAAGGGGTACTTTATTTATGTTTATGGCCAGTGTTAGAATATAGCTTTAGAATAAATATGCTTTTATATATTCTAAATAAATAAATATGTGTTCTGTTCTGTCAGTGTTAGAATAAATATGATTTCCTGTAAGGTATTTGAATATGCCCTGGTGAATTGTTACTAAACATGGATGCTTCCAGCACATCTTAACTTTCTGCTTCATTGAATTCATTTGAAATTTTTGCATTGGGTTGCTGTCTATAAACAACGCTGCCCTAACATCGATCTTGTGGGTTGATGCCTTGATTTCTTAGCTTCCCCAAATTATTTCATTTTAGAGGATTCATCATTTTCTTTAGATTGATAGTGGGGATGTAGAACATTGTCCTTAAGCTTGGAAGATTGTAATACATTTCCTCTTTTGATTTAACATTTTAGGGTTTGAATCAGACTGCTGATATGCAAACAAGGGAGGCACTGATGAAGTTATCTGGAACTGTGGAGTGTGAAGGGCCCAACCGCCACCTCTATGACTTCACTGGAAACTTGAACTTAGATGGGAAAAGGTATAACTTTCCCTTTTCTTAGTGTTTTTTAAATTTTTAAAAATGGGACTGAGAATTACTAGAGCTTTGGAAAATATTAGTTTTCTAGTTTCATAATATTTCAAAACAGTGAGATTTCTTCATGTTTTGCTTAGATATGAGCTTTTTTAACCACTGTTTCAATCAATTTAAACCTATAAATTCTTTAAATTTAAAGAAAGAACTGAGTTTTATTAAGGAAAAACAGCTAGAGAGTCTGAAATGAGATTCACAGCACTGGCCCGTTCTTTCTGTGTGCACTCCCTGCTGCGAGCAGAGCTGGCTTCGGCTGCATGCTGTTGTCCAGAAAAGCGGAAGGGAGGTTTCTGAGGTGTATAAAAGCTAATGTATTTACTAGAGAAGCTGTTAAGTAGGATTTATTTTTAGAAAGTTAAATGCAAGGAACAACAACCAGTCTTCCTTTAAAATATTCACTGCCCTGTTGTCTATATTCTGTTGTCTTTGTCCTCTTGGCATTGTTTTATTGTTGGAGAGTCATTTTTTTGTCATTATGTTGGGGTGCAGTTTCAACCTCTGCCCGTGTTTAATCTGCATGCTTATCAATGCTCCCCACCTCTATATTTTGAACAGACTCATAGAGAGGGCCCTAATCATGGGAACCAACCTAAAATGACCATGACAACTACATGGGACTGCTCTCTCACGTTTCATTTAGAGTGCAGAGCCATTCCGTAGGCTCCCATTTTGAGTTTCTAAATTATCACTCAGCCTTTTATCTAATCATTGTCACTCTTGACAAATTTGATATTTTATATTTATTGCTATTTTTTCTTATAATGAACTGGAAAATAAACTGGGTTTCCCAATAGAATAAATATCTGGTTATTTTAACAATTTCTTTCTTTGCTTTTATAACTTGATTATAATAGACACAATTCCTTATAACATTTTATAGGAAAACAAAAAAAAATTTTTTTTGTAGTGATGAATGGGTAAGAGAAACTTTTATGGTGGGTCCTTTTTTTTTTCTTTTCCCCTGTAGATGAAGTTAATGGTAACCTTCATTACCCCTGTTCCTCAGTGAAATAGTTAAAATTTGAGTAAAGGAAGCATTTGATTTATTGTGGGTTTATGTTTAAGGGGAAAGCTCATACTCATTTGTCAGACTATCATTGAATATAAATGTTATTTCTTGTTTTTAGCCCTGTTGCCCTTGGGCCTGACCAGATCTTATTAAGAGGTACACAGCTTAGAAATACTCAGTGGGTCTTTGGCATAGTTGTTTACACTGGACACGACACCAAACTCATGCAGGTAAAACATTTCTATGCTGAAAAACAATGCTGATTTTAGTCTTTAAAAATTTTTCTGTTCTGTTTTTATGGCATAGAGAGTAGAAATGTAGATGTTGCATTTAGGAAGTTTGAGTTAGTCTATGAACCTAAGTTTGGAAAGGAAGTGCCTATATTTTGGTTCTTTAGGTAGTTTCTCATAGATTTCTGTTATTATGTCAGATGTTACCTCCTGCTTGAAATATCAATGGTCCTATTTTCCATATTTAGGGGAAGTCAGTTCTAACATATTTTGTCTTCTGGACTTAAGTGATGACTTGTTCCTTCTTTATTTCTCTCTCTGCTTCTGCTCCTTACCCCATTAATTAGGATTTTACAGTAAATTGTCTTAATTAACTGAATTCTAGACAATTTAACATCAGTTATTTTGAACTAGTGTTTATTCTTTATACAAAAAATTAATGAAAATAATTTTGCTCTTTCTTCCTGTTAATATTTTTAATACTATTAGTTGTGAATTTGAAGACCACATTTATATTAGGACATATTTTGCTAGACTATGTTGAGATTCAACATAAATCAGTGTCCCTATGTGTCACTTCTTATATTTCATTGGTATCACTTGGCTATCTTATTTTACTAATGGTAGCTATTAATGTGAATTGGCTTTTCATCTTGTCTGCCTCTTTGTATAATTTCTAAAGCATGTATTTGACTATATTATTAACTTAAAAATGTCTAGTGATCACTGTGCACTATGTCTTCTGCCAGGATGAATGGATGCAATAGTGAAAGGCCCAACCTTACCCTCCCAGAGCCATGTGCACCTAGGCGTAGTAGGGAATTAGGAAATGGAGAGATCATTGTTGTAAGATGTATCGTTACAGTGTGGTCTGGTATTTACAGAAGGGTCAACCAACCCAGGTTTGTGGAGTGTCAGTTGGCTAGCTACTAAGAATGATACTAAGAAGTGCATTTTAGATGTAGAGTTGAAGAAGGGAGGCTGTTGTGTTGGTCTACCCTTGGAGGTCAAATGAGTTAAATACTTGTTAGAACAGATGAAGTGACAGACCCCAGTGTCCACACCAGCTGGGTAATGGAGTTGAGATGGAGAAGGGAGATGGGGAGGATTAGAAGGGTTGAGAAACTCATTGAAGTTGAAGAAGATTGTTAGAGTTGCTGAGTGACAGCTGATCAGTGTGCAGGGTGCTTTTCTTCAAGTTTCTAGGGTAGAGGGTTTATAGAATGGGGAGAGCTGGTGGTGAACAATGGGAGTAGGAAGCTAAAGGTAGAGCTGTTGGAGGCCATTTGATGTTGAGGAGTAAAGGACAGAGAGACTACACCATTTGACGGGTCAGTGCTGTGACTTCGAAGATCGGACCATGGCAAGGCTGGGGTAGTGGTGGATGCCGTAAGCCAATTGCTCCAGTCTTGAGGGATTGAAGGGTCTGAGAGATGGGTGGACTTGCTGAGGGAGGAGGCAGAAGGCAGTGTCGCCAAATGGCATGAATCTTACAAGTGGTTTTTTTAACATGGCATTAGAGGATTAAAATGTCAGCAGTATTACTGGGTCCTACATGTACAGCCAGTAATATTCTCTTGAGATTCTGAGGGATGTGAGTCTTCACTGGAGCACCCTCTGCTTGCAGGGCCTTTAGGAAAGGGTGTCCTCAGCTGGGTAAGTCAGGGGCAGGAGAACGGCTACGGAAAGAGGGTGAGGACGTAGGGAAGTGTTGGTCCTGGAATGGTAGGGCCTGGGTATGGTGGAATGGTCACAGGGAGTGTGTGAGGGTAGGGGATCCAGGCAGCTAAAAAGTGACTGGTTGGTGAATGCTGAGAGGCCACTCTTGGGTGACGATTATTCAGTATATCTGACGTGCCTGATCCACCTTTCCTGCTAAGTCCTCGCCTTCTTGCAGGCACTTGTTAGAAAGTCTTAGGTTTGGTTGTTCTGAGCCTCTTGTATGTGAAGACTACCTTGATAAATAGAGCCCTGCTACCTATTATCTATTTTCTAACTTTCTGAGTCAGTGCCAGCATCCACTGTCGAACACTTTTGGAGCTCTACTAACCACAGATCACTTCTGGTTTTCTATGAAGTGACAAAGAGGTCACAAGGACATAGCTCACATTTGTGCAGGGCCCCAAATCTAGTTTTTAGATTGTATATGTTACAAGTGTTGCCACTTTTCAAGATTCCTGACATACTGGTTGTTTTCTCAGGCTGCCACACTGTTTTTCTACATCATGTATTAGTAATACAGTTTTGTAGCGAAGGTATATGAGATAACTAAGTTACACTTAAAATGATCCCATTATCTCTTCAGTCAGCAAGGTGTGCACTAAGTTACCTTATGAATCTGCATCCCATGAGTGTGATGGGTACCTTTCCTTGCACCCAGGTGTGATAAACATCTTCGCAAGGCCCATGATGTGTTGACTCTGAGTGCAGGATAACGGAAAGCCCCAAAAGTGTCTGGTAGAGCCACTGTGCCTTTGGAGCTGACACAACAAAAAAATGATGGGCTTTCATGAGGAAAATAATATAACACACATAGCTGGAAGCCATTCCTGGTTGGGAAACAACATGTTTTGTCTGTACATGTGCTGCTTGACCACAGAGAGGTAACACAATTGCTTTAGGGCTCTCCTACTTTGCTTTTCAAACTCTCCCTTCAATGCTTTCTATTCTTAAAAGTTCCCTTGCTTCATGTTGAGTGTAGTTACATGTAGAAATATTTCTGTGTCTATTGTTTCTCTTGATTGACTTAGTGGGAAAGAGAGATATTATCACATAATTACAGCAAATACTTAGTGCCCCGTGTACTGTTCTAAGTAGTTTGCTTGTATTAACTCATTTATTCCTCACAATGGCTCTGTGAGGAAAATACTGTTATTTCCATCTTTTCGGTGAGGACACTGAAGCACAGAGTATCTCAGTATGTTGCCAAAGTCACACACCCAGGCAGAGAGAGAGAGCTTTGTTTCAAACCATGGCAGTCTGGTTCCCGAGCCCATGCTCTAATATTCTTTTGACTACTTTCTTAAGAGGAAATGAAATGTGTAAAATTCAGGTCAGATATAAGCTTTTACAGAATACGACATATTGGTTTGTTCCTGTTAAGAGCTGTATTACTCAGAAGTAGCAGTGCTTTCTAAGAATTTTATGAAACTTATGATGCTGGTCAGAATTTCTCATAACAAGCTCATCCTTATATGTTGACCTGGTCAGCAGATGGGAATGAGTAGGAACAGCTCGGCTTTCCACAAAGCACATGTGCTGAAGCCTGAAGTTTTGGGCTCTTGTGCTACAGGAAAGATAACTTTTCCCACCTCTGCTAACTGGCCAGGATTTAACCGCAGGAAAAGATCAAAAGTTCATAAATGAATAAAGTCATAGAAATGAGGTTTATTGTAACTTTTTTTCTGCCTGTGCCTCCACTGAATGTTTATTTAAAGTGATAAAGTCATCTTTAGTTTTAAAAGACTGAGACAGGCAGTCTTGGAACTGGTCTCTTGGCTCTTGACCTGGGTCAGAGGTGATGTGTCATCCTCGTCAACCTTTAGATAGCATTTGATTGATGGTAGGTCAGCTTTTACTAATGGATTTTTATTTAGAGTTTAGAGGAATTTTTAAAAAGCCTGTAAAGAGCAAATAATTTAGAGAGCTAAAGCGAGAGTAAGAAAAGAGTACATAAAGGAAAGTGCTGTTGTGTTGTTAAGATACTTAATGGACTTAGCATTTCAAAATTGCCAGTATGATACTTCCCAACTCCCCTCGCCCATAGAAAACCACAGCTGTAGGGGTAGCATTTTTGGGCTTGGCCATAGAATTCAGATGATTTCAGGGATGTTATGGTATGAGTTTTTCTATGGAACTGAGGATTTGCCTTCTATTTTCATCTTAATTTTATTTTCAAATTGGGACTTTATTTGCATTCTTCTTTTCAGACACATTTTCATCTTAGCTATGTTAATGTTCAGATAAATGGAGAATAGTGGAGAGTGCTGACTTATGTATGGCACAGGGCACCATTTTAATGGCTTTTAGTTCCTTATAAGCTTTCAAATCACCTAATCTTTGCAAATCAGTGTTGCTTCTAAAGAGACAGGCTTTGACTCATGGAAAGAGGCCTGCAGACTTAAGCCCCTGTGCCCATCTCCCCTGTCCACTGTCCACTTTTGGTTTACTGATTTAATCTAGACTCTGCTCACCTCCAGGAGTGGGTTATTACCATCTGTTGTATTAGTATATTAGTCTCCTGTTGCTGCCATATGAATTATACAAATTTAAGCTTGAAACAACATTAAGTTGTTATATTACAGTTCTGTAGGTTGGAATTCTGACATCAGGTGTCTGCAGAGCAGCATTCCTTTCTATAAAACACTCGGGAAGGCTCAAAAGGAGAATCATTCTTGCCTTTTCCAGCCTTTCTAAAGGCTGCCCGAATTCCTTGGCTCAGGACCCCCTTCCTTCATCTTCAAAGCCAACAGTGTTGCATCTCTGTGACCATGCTTCTGCAGGTACATCTCCTGGCCAAGGACCCATGTGATTAAATTGGGTCCACTTGGGTAATACAATGTAATCCCTCCAATCAAGGTCCTTAATTTAATCACACCTGCAAAGTCCCTTTTATCATATAAAGTAACATGTTCATAGCATCCAGGTATTAGGATATAGCTATCATTGGAGGGGTGGGGTCATTATGATGCCCACCACAATTACCTTCAGGAAACTTTTAATAAAATGACTTTCAGTGCATAACTGTCTAGTGCAAACAGTTTTATTGACTTTTGCACTGCTGACAAGATAAAGTCCCAAATTTTCTACCTAATGTGTAGTACGCCTTGAATTCAGCTTTAATGAGCATTTTTAAACTCACTTCCCTGCAGTAACCTCTGTTCTAGCTGGGCTAGTTTCCCCACCAGCGGTAAGAAATCCGGCCATGCACGTTTATAGATGTTAGATTGTCTTTCTGCTTTTGTTTTACCTTCCTGTTTGCATTCTGTTTATGATTTGGGACTCCATTCAGATTTCTTCTGGCCACTAGAGCTTTCCTGACTTTTCTTGTTTGTTTCTTGTTAGGTTTTCCAAATGAATTATTTGTCCATCCATTTATTTTGACACTTGCTGATGTTCTACTTTGCATTATTGATGTGTATGTGTTCGTATGTCTTTTTTTCTCAACAAATGTGTACTTTCCAAATCTATCTTTGTATATTAATTGTAAAGCTAATTATTACTTTGAAGATTCTCTCTAGATTTTTAGGATATAGAATCTTTCAGTTTCTCTTGAATTAGAAACATTCTGATTTCTTTTAAATTGGACTTTAATGATTTAGAACCTGTTGTGTTCTAAGATAATTCAAATAGCTAATTTTATACTAAATTGTAATAATAAGAATTACAGGTTGAATCAAGTATAGTTAAAATGTGTTCTTTAACATGGTGGAATGTGTCTTCTGTCATCTTTATTTAAAACTAGCTGGTGATTCGGGAATATGGTACACTTTTTAATTTCATTGGTTATTTGGCAAAGATAGTCTTTTATTTTTAGTTGTTGAATTTAGGTAACTTACCTTTTCTTCTCCCCACTCCTTGCCCCTGAGTCTGTGTGATCCTTAATAATTTTAAATGCTGTTGTACAGAATTCCACCAAAGCTCCTCTTAAGAGATCGAATGTTGAGAAAGTGACCAATGTGCAGATCCTGGTGTTGTTTGGCATCCTCTTGGTCATGGCCTTGGTGAGCTCAGCAGGGGCCCTGTACTGGAATGGATCTCAAGGTGGAAAGAACTGGTACATCAAGAAGATGGGTAAGTATCTGGGTGGGTTGCTTGCTAAAGTAGTACAAAACACTTTCAGAAAATCCTTCTATGTATGGTTTATGTGTGGTGGACATCCTGTGTTTCTCTGCTCTTTGGCTACTCTGTATAATGCCAACCTTTCAAGGAGAATTGAAAGATTAGGAGTCATGTGATGAAGTAAAGATAGACATATTTGGGGATTGTTTTATATTCCAATGATTATTTTTAAAGTTATTTTCTTAGTGGTTGGTCTAGGGATTACAATATATGTCTTAATTTATAAGCATCTGCTTCAGAGTAATAATAATTTAATTTTGGTGCAATATAGAAAATTTCCTTTAATATAGATCCATATTCTCCCCTGCTTTATGATATTTTTGTCATATATTGCATCTCTCTAGGAACTTAACAATAGTGTTGTAATTATTGATTTATACACTCTTATGCCCTTTAAAAAAGCAAAAAGCAAAAAAAAAGTAAGCTTAAAAAGTTGTTTTATATTAACCTACTTACTCCATTTCTTCCTGTGGATTTGAGTTTCCAGCTTATGTCATTTCTTTGCTTCATGTGGCTTCATTCTATCCTCACTCATTTTTGTTCTCATATATATTACATCTGTATATAAGTCTAATAATATAATTTTATAATGATTTTCTTGTCATTGTTTATTTTAAATCCGAAAGAAAGGGTTGAAATATGTACTTATATTGTCCTTTATAAGTACCTATATAATCACCTTTATTGCTGCACTTTGTTTATTTTTGTGGATTTAATTACTGCCCATGTCTCTCCCTTTCCTGGTGGGGAATTTTCTTTAGTATTTATTACAAAGCAGTTTAGGTAGCAAAAAATTTGCTCAGTTTTTATCTTGGAATGTCTTAATTTCATCTTTGTTTTTGAAGGGTTGTTTTGCTGATACTTGGAGAACATTAAGCTAACTGAAATAAGCTAGTCAGAGGAAGAAAAATACATGATATCACTCATATGTGAAATCTAATGAACAAACTGAAATTACAGGGATAATGGGGACAGACTCATAGATGGATAGGATGACAGCTAGTGGTGGGGAGGTGAGGGGGTGGAGGAACTGAGCAAAAAGGAAAAAGGACTCATGAACATGGATAACAATGTGGTGATAGCTGGGGGTGGGAAGTATAAATAATAATGAAAAAATACAATAAAGATGAAAATAAAATAAAATTGACAACATCTAAATAAAAAAAGATACAGAATTTGCATAAAATCCTTGGTTGACATTTTCTTCCTTTCATTAGTTTGAATATGCTCTCCCACTGCCTTCAGGCCTCCATTGTACTGATGGGAAGTCAGCTGTTAATCTTACTGAGTTTTTCTCTTGTCTGTGAGTCATTTTTCTATTGCCATTTTCAAAATTGTCTTTGGTTTTCAATAATTTTGAGTTTATTCTCTTTGGAATTCGTTGATATTTTTGGATATGTTTATTCATATTTTTCATCAAATTTGGGACATTTTCAGCTATTATTTGTTGTTTCTGCCATATTCTTACTTGCCTTTCCTTGTACTCCCATTATTTACATGTTAGTTCACTGATGTGTCCTAACAGGTTTTTGAGGCTCTGTTAATTTTACTTCATTTATTTTTTCTTTTTTATGTAGGATAATCTTTATTGATTGGTATTCAAGTTTTTCTGCTCTGTTTTCTGCTGGCTCAAATCTGTTGAACTCCAGTAGTGATTTTTTAAAAAATTTAAATTATTGTACCTTTCAATTACAGAATTTCCATTTGTTGTTTTCTTTTTAAACTTATATTTATTTATATTCTCTAATTAATCAGTCACTGTGACCATACATTTAAAAATTTTTTAAAACAGTTTCCTTTAGCTTTTTCAATATATTTATAACAACTGGTTTGAAGTCTTTGGTCTATCATTTGAGCTACTACCCTCAAAGGCAGTTTCCACTCTTGCCTTTTTCCTTTTTTTCCCATTGTTGTTGTTGAAAACTGGGTATTTTAGATATTCTATTGCAGTAACTGTGGATTCTGTTTTTCTCTTCCTCCTGGAGCCTGTTTTGTTGTTGTTGTTTTTTCTATTTGTTTAGTGATTAGTCTGGACTCATTCTGTGAAATTGTTTTATTCTGCAGTGTATAGCCTGTGATATTACTGCTCAGTTTTATTTCCATTATTCTACCTTTTAATTCTTTTAAAAGGTATGGTTTAAGGTATATAGTTATTTTTAGTACACCTGACCCTTGAACAATGTAGGGACTAGGGGTGCTCACCCCCATCACAGTGAAAAATCTGTGTATAACTTTTGATTCCCCCACTACTTAGTTGACTCTCATATCCACAGGGCATTGGTTCCAGGACCTCCCATTGATATCAAAATCCATTGATGCTAAGTCCCCTGTATAAAATGACATGGATCAACACATACAGTGGGCCCTTCATATTTGCAAATTCCCAGCTGCAGATGGGAAACAGTATAGTAAAATAGTATAGGTATTTGTTGAAAAAAAAGTCTTGTAAGTGGACCCACACAGTTCAAACTCGTGTTGTTCAAGGGTCAACTGTACATTTACAGAATTGTGCAGCCCTCACCCCCCCCTAAATTTACAACATTTTTATTACCTCAGAAAGAAACTCTATCCTCACTAATAGTCAGTCCTCTCCTTGTTTTTATTTTTAAGCCTGGATTCCTAGAGGTCCACATACCTTAGTGGTCAGCCAGTGATTGGAGAGAGATTGTGCTTAAACTCTTTTGTTGTTTGATCTGTGTATGGCTTGCAGAATGCTTTTAATGTTTGGGGAATTTAAAGTTTGACCCACAGTCAGTCAGGGACAACTAGTTCACAAGTACCCTCTCTGGCTCCTCCTGAGCATATGCAGCCTTGTGCACGGACATGAGCTTCTGGACCATCAGGGTTGAGTGTGATCTTAGCAAGGTTTCATTGGTCACCTTTTCCATGGATCTTCCTGTTTCATTTCTGACTGATCTTCTATTTTGTTTTGTCCCTATTAGTATTGTGAGATATTTGCTTTTTCTGATTATTAGCCATGAGAAATTCTGTTGTTTTTGACTGTGCCTTGAGTGTGGTTTTTTATGCTGTGCTCCAAATAATGTCAGCTCCCTCAGGTTGTTTCTGTCTTGACCACCTGCCATGGCTCTGTGGTAGCAGCATGCCCCTCCCAGGGTCAGAGTTATGTGATGTGGAGCTGGGCTAGGGGAGGATGAAAACCGCTAGTCCTCAAGGCCTACCCCAACCACCCTCCAGAACAGAGCTGAAATAACATGGAAGATGGGGAAAGAAGGAGAAACTGCCTTTGGATTAAATGTCAAAGGCCTCCACTTTACCAAGATTGAGTAAATTTTCTTTAATGCATGCTTTTGAATTTTTTTATATACTCTGTTAACAGTTTCCAAGCACTTCAAATGTTTTGACAATTTTGTCAAGTTTTATTACTTCATTTTTTTTGGAGAAGATTTGCCAGTCTCTTCACACAGCAATTTCAGAAAATAAGTAAAATTTAATGACAAAATTTTTTTGAATAATTTTTCATTTTAAAATTTCACGATATTATCTTGGGGTTATTGTTATTTCCATCTTTCAATATATTTTAGTTCAACTGATGAAAACATTTTTTCCTTCTATTATTTCGTGTAAAAAACTCATACCCTTTGAACTGCCTGGGGAAACTCTTGTTTCCACTTTACTAATGTGGGAAATGTTAATAGGACTTCAGTTGTAGCTTAGATTCAAATCCCTTGATGTTAGCTTTTAAAATTTGGATTTAGGCCATGTTATATGTCTAGTTTCAAATGTGAAGATGCTTTGCATATGTACACAGTTAGTTCATAAAATATGGTCTGGGTAAATAACATTGACACTATCTTGGTATACAGGCTTTGTGGAAACTGGTATTTAAATTGTTCAGATAAAGTCAAACTCCAATACTAGCTGCATGATTTACAGTGGAAGAATGGTCTTTTTGTCCACCCATATGCTTTCTACTTCATTATTTGTATAAACTCTGAGTAGCTCTGGTAAGCACCATCAAACCACATTTGCATTGTCACTGTTGGAGTTTGGACTTAGTTCAAAGAACTTTCCCTTTTTGATATGCACAGAACTGGTACCTCTTTTCCCTCTCCTGGATCCTCCTCCTCTCCAAGCTGATCCTAACACTGCTTTGGGTTTCATCCCTTAGGGGTCTTGCTCCAACAAGACATTCCTTCTCTTATCTTCAATAAACGGACTCAGGGCTTCTTGCCTGCCTCCCTCTTTTCACCTGTTTTCCCTTGTCACACTCCCCCCCCCCCCATTTTACCAATACTTTGGAATGTTTCAAAGATACTCACACTTAAATGGGTTGCAGATATTCCTTACAACCATTTCAAATGCCTTCCTCTTTTTTACATCCTTTTTAGTTAGCTGTCTTCTCTCTGTCCTCCAAAACTTGACTAACGTCTCTATTGTTCTGGATGGTCTTCAGTGGACCATGCTTTCCCACTAAAAGAAAATTTCCTGTCCTGTTTCTGCAATGCCCTGTGAACATCTCTTTAACAGATATATACCAATGCCTATTCACATTGAGGGGCATGTTTGCTTCTGTCTACTCTCCTGCCCCACAACCTCCTGTTAGAAGCCAGCTCTTTATTGGAAGGCATTGTATATTAATAGTTTTAATATTCACAGTTGGTTCCATGTAGCAGGTGCTCAATAACTACTTTAACTTGAATCTCTAAAGCTATATGTAAGCCAATAAATTCTTTTGTGAGCATCTATTAGAAAAAACTCAAAATAATAAACTAATAGGAAACAATGGGAACTAACTAAAGCAATACAGATGTTCTGGTTTTCTTCCACAGACACGACCTCGGATAATTTTGGATATAACTTGTTGACATTCATCATCTTGTACAATAACCTTATTCCCATCAGTCTGCTGGTGACTCTTGAGGTTGTGAAATACACTCAAGCCCTTTTTATAAACTGGGTGAGTATCACAGCATAGTCTAAAAGTTGAGCTGTTGCAGAAATGTCAACCACAATTTTCTAATACTCTCTCAGCCTTAGCCTTTTAATTGAATGCCCAGAAAAGGAATATTAGTCAATTTATGATTTCATCTGGAAGGTAAAGGGCCAGAGAACTGGCCAGGGATTTCTGGCAAAGGTGTCCCTGAGCCATTGGTAGCAGTGACTAGTTACCTAACATCTTAGCTTCCTGGTATACAGAATGGGGGCCAGGGAGACCATTGTATGTATCCAAGAGGTTCTTGTGAAGATAAAGTAAGAAGATAGAGACAGAATGCTTAATAGATGCTTGTCTTCTGGTGAGCAGGTATGAAGTGTCTGCAACTGTTGGTGATGCTTTTGAAGTCCAATTAGTGCTTTTGAAAAAGGCCTCTTAGGTGTGCCTATATTAGTGTTTATTATATATCAAAATTCTTGGTGACAGTAATGTGGATTCCGCTGTTTAGAATGAAAGTGGAATTTTTAAGGAGCTACCATTGTCATTAAGCGCTTGACTTCAGCAGTCTGTATGTTCCAGGTGCTTTCATGTACTTTTTATTATTTTTTAATTTTTGTTGGAGTGACATTGCTTAAGAAAATTATGTAGTTTTCAAGTACACAATTCTATTGCACATCATCTCTATATTACATTGTGTGTTCACCACCCAAAGTCAAATCTACTTTTGTCACCAGATATTTGAAAAGGGTAAAGGGGGTCATGTGTGTTTTTATTTAATCTTCATAATAATCCTGTGAGTGAGGTAGTATCTGAGATTAGCAATATGAGTTAATCTAGGTCATGAAATGCTCATCTTGAAACGAAATCTTCTGTATATATCAATGAATACATTTCTCTTTGTATCACAATATTTCCCTACACTAATTGCCACTGTATTTTCATCCCCAAATTTAAAATTAGCATTTATATATTTGTTTTTAATCTAAACAAAGGTTTAATGATATGTACTTTCTAAAGTGCCCCTTCTTCTCACTCTCAGGACACAGATATGTATTATCCTGGAAATGACACTCCTGCTATGGCCAGGACCTCAAACCTCAATGAAGAGCTTGGTCAGGTGAGAGCTTCTTTGGGAACCTCGGTGATGGCAATATGAACGTGAGGTGAGACTAGCGTTAGAGGAACCATGGAGAGATTTTTGCAAAAACACTTCTATGATTGTGGTTTTAATGTTTGAAGAGCTATATAGTATTTGAGAGTGTTATTAAAGATAAATGTTAATCAGTTTTGGATTGCATTTTGAGGCATGGATATATCTTATCACTAAGGAGGTACCTGCAAAAAATTCAGTACTACAATACAGTATAATATTTTTTGGACTCCTAAAATTGCTTGTCAGGAGCAAATTGTAGGAAAAAAAAAATGGTTAAGATACTCAGATATTGCCTAACTCTACAAAACGTGTGGGGACTAATATGAAGGACATGTATCCATCAAATCACTTACGTGTTCCAGTTTTTGTTTCTGAAATATTTCAGGGAGCCAGTGTCTTTTCTACCATCACCCCTGAATCCCAATTACTTTACTAAGTTGTACTTTGCATTATGTTTTCCTCTTATGTTGAAATTACTACAAGGAATAACCTCTGTTGAATACATTGCAATTAAAGATTATAATTTCATTGTATACATCTTATTTAAACCTCCCAACCACCCTATGAGGTGGTTGCTATATATATCAGACTAAATTTGCCTCTTTGAATCTTTTTCCAGTTTTCTAGGTAAAGTTAATTGATCTCTTGCCTATCTTCCCTTAACAGTCTTTCCGACATAAACACAAGAAAATAAAGAGACATGATAGTGATATATTGCCTATTTCTCTCTTGAGATTTTCAAGCCCATTAAGGGTATGCGTGTACCTGAGACAAAGTCTTTGGTTGTTTTGCACAGTGCTCAGGATATCGTTCTCAGGTGCCACTGAACTGGACCTGGAATAATTGAAGGATTGAAAGTGTTCAAGGAGCACTAGTATGAAATTACTCATCCTTATTGGGTATATGGGGAAGTTTGCATAGAGAAGTAATTTTTTAAATTTCTCAATTACATTTGACATTTAATATGATACTAGTTTTTGGTGTACAACATAGTGATTAGACATTTATATAACTTACAAAGTGATCACCCCGTGAAGCTTAGTACTCATTACACCATGCATAGTTATTATAATATTATTGACTAGATCCCCTATGCTGTACTTTACATCCTTGTGAATATTTGGTAACTGCCTATTTATACTTCTTAATTCCGTCATCTTTTTCCGCCCATCCACCCAACCAGTCTCCCATCTGGTGACCGTAAATTTGTTATCTTTATTTCTGTGTTTTTTTGTTTGTTTATTTTATTTTTTAGATTCCATATATTAATAAAATCATATGGCATTTGTTTTTCCCAGTCTCATTTCACTTAGCATACTAGCCCCAGGTCCATCCGTGTTGTCACAAATGGCAAAATACCATTTTTTATGGCTGAGTAATATTCCATTGTATATATGTACCACATCTTCTTTATCCATTTGTCTATTGATGGACACTTGAGTTGCTTCCATATCCTTGCTGTTGTAAGTAATGCTGCATGAACATTGGGGTCCATATATGTTTTCAGGTTAGTTTTGGATTTCTTCAGATAAATATCCAGAATTGGAATGCATGGGGATGTAGTTTTGAATTGGAAATTAAAGGATAAATTAAAATTCAGAAGACAGAGAGATGGCAAATCTTGATAGTTTCTTATAATTTTTTAAATATTTTGATTTAAGTTTTTAATTTTTAAAAGCAAGGCAGGCACTGGCTGGGTGGCTCAGTTGGTTGGAGCATCATCATCACATACAACAAAAGGTTGAAGGTTTGAGTCCCAGTCAGGGCACATACCTAGGTTGTAGATTGGATCTCCTGTTGGAGCACTTACGGGAGGCAACTGATCAATGTTTCTTGCTCACATCAATGTTTTTGTCTCTCTCTTCCTCTGTCTCTAAAATCAATAAACATATCCTTGGGTGAGGATTAAAAAAATAAAAACAAAAATAAAAATAAGAACCATTCAGAAATACTTTATTAGAAAGCTTATTCTACTGAGTTTTTTATCCCTCTAGATTTGCTGCCTATAAAAATATAATTTATAGTTAAAGTATTAATTATCCATAGTATACTAATTGTATATTTCTGTGTAATATTTGACTTTTTAGGAGCATTAATCATTTCTTTTTAAAAAAATCTTTCTTTACTTAAAGGCTCTCTGATTGCTCTAAAAATAAATAAGAAAAAGTACAGAGTAGAATTCATATTATCAATTCCTCTCTTGTACAACAGTAAAAGATGGCTTCCCTTTTGGGGTCCCTGGGGTACATTTGCATCCAGCAAGAGTTATGACTCCTCTTTAGAAAAGTACTGAGAAACTGGAATTTTTACTGGACACAAATCTGTTAATTACTACCCTCTCACCAATCCATAATATAATTTCCCAGAATGTTACACATCTTCTGAGCAAACTCTTTATTCATAGATGTGGAAACTGAGGTCAAGAAGGATGAGGTGACTTTTCTAGAGTCCACATGACTAGTTAGTATTCAGGGTGTGAACTGAACTATCTCCTCCTGAGTTCTTTTCCCTCTTTTCTGTCGCTTTATGCACCTGGGAGGACATAGGTATCACAGCATATGTGCATCCTTTTGCACGTACTTATGTCAAAATGGTTGGCTTGTTGGCCTCCTACAGAAATTTCTTTTTACCTTTGTATATTGAGAGTGTAATGTATTAAATCTCCAAAACTTTTGAATATGGAAAGTTATATAACCTACAGCAGTTCCATGCTGCCTTTATGTAATCTTTATGGTGATAGTTACTCACAAGTGTAGTGTTTGCGGCAAAAGAAAACATCAGCAAAATGAAAAGGGAGCCAACCATATGGGAAAATATATTCGCTAATGATACATCAGATAGAGGTTTGATCTCCAAGATATATAAAGAACTCACTCGACTCCACTCCAAGAAGACAAACGATCCAATCAAAAAATGGGCAAAGGACCTGGGCAGACGCTTTTCCAAGGAGGAGCTACAGAGGGCCCAGAGGCACTTGAAAGGATGCTCAGCATCACTAGCCATCAGAGAAATGCAGATCAATACCACCATGAGGTACCACCTCACACCGGTCAGAATGGCCATCATAAACAGATCCACAAACAACAGGTGCTGGCGAGGCTGTGGAGAAAAGGGAACCCTAGTCCACTGTTGGTGGGAATGCAGACTGGTGCAGCCACTGTGGAAAGCAGTGTGGAATTTCCTCAAAAAGCTGAAAATGGAACTGCCTTTTGATCCGGTGATTCCCCTGCTGGAACTATACCCTAAGAACACCAAAACGCCAATACAAAAGAACCTATGCACCCCAATGTTCATAGCAGCACAATTTACAATAGCCAAGTGTTGGAAGCAGCCTAAATGCCCATCAGTAGATGATTGGATCAAAAAGTGATGGTACATATACACAATGGAATACTACACAGCAGAAAGAAAAAAACTACTAAACTTCGTGACAGCATGGATGGAACTGGAGAGCATTATGCTAAGTGAAATAAGCCAGGGAGCAAAAGACAAATGCCATATGATCTCACCTATAAGCAGAACCTAACCAACAATACAAAGATGCAAGGAAAATAAGACCAGCAACACTGAAATGAAAAGAAATCAACAGAGACAAGAGGGAAGGAGGGAGGAGGGGCAGGGAAAAGGAAGGGAAGGGGAAAGTCAAGGAGCATATAGCAAGGACTTATGGACAAAATCAAAGGGGAAGAGCTGAGGGAGGGAAGGAGGGAGGGGGCAAGGGAAGGTGGTGAGGGGTAGGCAGAGACAAATGTATTTGAAAAAATAAATTAAAATAAAATTAAAAAAAAAAAAAGAAGTGTAGTGTTTGTTCTGTGTTGTTTCAGGATATGCCTTCTTAATCCAGCCAGGAGGCAGAGTCCTAAAATAATATTTTGAGTTTGCCAATGTGTGACCTTGTTGTTTTGGCATATTGGACACTAGGAGAGATCATGGGACTGTCTTGAAGAATGATATGTCTTTGAGATGCCCTCTGGCAGGACTTAGTGCTTAATGCTTATAGATCTAAAATGGCTCCTGGCTGTGACTGAGTCTTCATTGCACATTTTGACACAGTTGGACTCTAGAATTGGTTATGGAAAAGGTTTTTAAGTGGCCTAAGTATTAAAATATATTAATTTAATTATAATGTATAATTATAATTGTATATAATATACATGCAATTATAAAATATATTTTGCTTGGTTGAAGGAAATTTACCTTTTAAAATTTATAAAGATTTTGAAAAACATAGAATGAAGGCTTTATTGTTTTTTGCATTTTATTATATCCTTGATGTATGCATGTTTTTCTTATTTGATTTTAGGTTAAATACCTGTTTTCTGACAAAACTGGAACTCTTACATGCAATATCATGAACTTCAAGAAGTGCAGCATTGCTGGAGTAACCTATGGGTAAGTATGTTTATCAGTTATTGAAAACTTGATTTGTATTTTTCCAACAAAATAAGTTTATTTTTATTTGATTACTCAAATACCTTGACTTTCTGTTGTTTTGAAAGGATACCTGTAACTTTCTGGTGCCAAATCCAAAAATCTTTGTGAAGACTGATGCCAAGAAGGTTACCACATATGTTTTTTTCTAGGAGTTTTATGGTTGCAGGTCCTATGTTCATATCTTTAATCCATTATGAGTTAATTTTTGTGTATGGTGTAAGGTAGGGGTCCAGTTTTATTCTTTTGCACGTGGCTCTCAAATTTGCCAATATCATTTATTGAAGAGACTGTCCTTTCCCTGTTGTTTATTTTTGGCTCTTTTGTCATAAATTAATTGACCATATAGGTGTGTGTGTATTTTGGGGCTTTCTATTCTGTTCCATTGATTTGTGTCTGTTTTTGTGTCAACAACAAACTGTTTTGATTACTACAGCTTTGTGAGATAGTTTGAAATTAGACAGCATGATGCCTTTAGCTTTGTTCTTTTTCAAGATTGCTTTGGCAATTTGGTTCTTTTGTGGTATTAGGATTGTTCTGTATCTGTGAAAAATGCCATTGATAATTTGATAGGGATTGCATGGAACCTGTAGATTGCTTCAGGTAATATGGACATTTTAATAATATAAACTCATAATATATTATTATTATATTTATATTATTATAAATATTATTATTTATTTATAATAATAAATATTATTATAATATTTATAATAATATAAAAAGTCCAATAAGCATGGACTAACTTTCCATTTATTTGTGCCCTCTTCAGTTTCATTCATCAATATCTTATAGTTTTCACTGTGCAGGTGTTTCACCAGCTTGGTTAAATTTACTTCTAGGTATTCTATTTTTTGGATACAATTGTAAGTATGATGTTTACTTAAAATCTCTTTCTGATAGTTCATTATTAATGTATAGAAATGCAACAGATTTTTGTATTTGATTTTGTATTCTGCAGCTTTCCTGAATTTCGTTATTAGTTCTAACAGTGTTTTGGATGGAGTCTTTAGGATATTTGATATTTATCATATGATCTGCAAATAGAGTTTTCCTTCTTCTTTTATGATTTGGATGCTTTTTATTTCTTTTTCTTGCCTAATTGCCCTGGCTAGGACTTCCAGTACTATGTTGAATAAAAGTGGCAAGAGTGGGCATCCTGGTTTGATCCTGATCTTAAAAAAAAATGCTTTCATTTTTTACCACTGAGTATGATGGTAGATGTGGGCTTATCACATATGGCCTTTATTGTGTTGAGGTATGTTCCATCTGTGCCCATTTTGTTGAGACTTTTTAATTATAAATGGATATTTAATTTTGTCAAATCCATTTATTGAGATGGTCATATGATTTTTATGTGTCATTTGTTACTGTGATTTATCCAATTGATTGATTTGCAGATGTTGAACTATCTTGCATCCCTGAAATAAAATTTACTTGTTCATGGTATATGATCCTTTTAATGTATTATCAAAATTTGGTTTGTGAATATTTTATTAAGGATTTTTGTTGAGGACCCATGTTCATCAGAGATATGGGCCATAATTTGTTTTTTCTTGAGGTGTCCTTGTCTGGTTTTGGTATCTGGGCAATGCTGGCCATAACATGAGTTTGGAATTGTTCCCTCCTTTTATATTTATGGAAGAGTTTGGGAGTGATTGGTATTAATTTTTCTTTGACTGTTTGGGAGAACTCACCAGTGAAGCAGTCTGGTCTGGAGATTTTGTTTGTTGAGAGGTTTTTTTGATTACTGATTTAATCTTCTTACTAGTTATAGTCTGCTCAGATTTTCTATTTCTTCATGATTCAGTCCTGGCAGGCTGTTTTATCCATTTTTTATAGAGTTGTTCAATTTGTTAGTGTACAGCTGTTCATGGTAGTCTCTTAGGATCTTTTATGTTTGTGTGTTGTCAATTGTAATATCATCTCTTTCATTTCCGATTTTGAGGTCTTTTTTTTTTTCTTGGTGATTCTAGCAAAAGAATCCATTCTTTTTACATTCTTTGTCCATTCTTTTTATAGAAACCAGCTCTTAGTTTTATTGTCTTTTTAATCTCGTTTATTTATTTCCTCTGACCTCTGTTCTTTCTTTCCTTTTACTAACATGGAGCTTTATTTGTTCTTTTTCTAGTTCTTTGATAGTAAAATTAGATTGTTGAAGATTTTACTTGTTTCTTGATGTGTGGGCATTTATCACTATGAACTTCCCTCTTAGAACTACTTTTGCTGCATACCACAACTTTTGATATGTTTCCATTTTCTTTTGTCTCAAGGTATTTTATTTATTTTTTATTTCTTTTTTGAGCCATTGGTTATTCAGTAGTATGTTGTTTAATCTTCATGTATTTCTGATTTTTCCAGTTTTCTTCTTGTAATTGATTTTTAGTTTCATACCATTATGGTAAAAAAAGATGCTTTATATGGTTTCAGTCTTCTTAAATTTAGTAAGACTAGTTTTGTGGCCTAATGTGTGATCTATTTTAGAGAATGTTCCATGTGTGAATGCCTATCATTTGTTCATAATTTTGTGAGCACTCTATTTCTCTCTCTTTCTGGCAGTCATTTTCCCGAATTGACAAGAGAGCCATCCTCAGATGACTTCTCGTAAGTAAATTGTAGCATGTCTTGATGCTTTAGTGGGAAAGTCTGTGGAACAATTTTATATTGTCATATCTCACCTGAACATTTTGTAGTTAAAAGTTGAATATATGTTATTTCAAAAGAGAACCAGAATAAAATTTAAACATGAATATGATTTTTAAAATCCAGTGATACTACAAAGCTTTAACAAAAAGTAATGAGTCCTTGGTCTAATACTTCCTACTCACTTGCAACTTTTTAGGTAGGATAATGTCTTCAAGGTTGTAGTATACATATTATGTAGCACATATCAGAATTTTATTCCTTTTAAAAGCTGAATAGTGTTTATTTGCATGTATATACCAGATTTTGTTTATCCACTTATCTGTTGATGGGCATTTGGGGTAATTTCATCTGTTGGCTAATGCAAATAATGCTGCTATGAACATTGGTACACAGTGAATCTCTGCTCTCAGTCCTTTGGGTTATATATGTAAATGTGGGATTGCTAGGTCATGTGCTTATTTTATGTCTAACTTCTTGAGAAACCACCAAACGTTTTCAGAGTAGCTATAGCACTTTATATTCCCACCAGTAATGTATAATTTTCCTACATCCTTGAACCACTTGTTAATTAATGAAATGATTTAAAAAAATAATAACCATTCCAATGGGAACCAAGTGGTAACTCATTGTGGTATTGATTTACATTTCCCTTAGGACTGGCGATGTTGTCTGCTCATGTTTTATGATTTATATACTAATAAAACTGATTAGTAGGGCTGTGTGTTGGTGGGAGGAGGGGTTCAGTGTGGTTGATGACTAACTGGCTTCCCTGAGGGATGATTAGCTAGGACATACTATTTTATTAGAGAATCACTGGATGTCATGTCAGTGGGTCTCTTTTGTGAGCTGATCAGTCTTCTCATCAGAACTCTTCCATTTTCTGCCAAGGGCTATATATGGGGCTGCAGTTGTTATGGGCACTGAGTGGAGGCAGAAAGTTGGTGATCATACTATTCAGCATATGAAGTGTGTCTGGAAGAAGTCCAGTCATTTCTAATATAACGAGAATGATTTGCATGACATTGATGTAACCTTGTAGCCAAGGAGAGTGGACTGGAATGCATGTGTGTGAACAGTGATGACTTCGCTGTAGTAGTCAGTGGGGGCAGTAGATGTCATTGAGTGAGCATATGTACTGTGTGGCCATCACATTAAAAAAATGACAGTAGAGCAATGAACCTGCATCAAATTTTGTGGTAAGTTTGAAAACTCTTCCATGGAAACTATTCAGCTATGGGCAACTGATGATTGGCAGCTTCATCATGACAACACACCCAGTCATGCATCACATTTTGTGCTGAGTTTTTTGGCGGAACATCAAATTGCCCAGGTGACTCAGCCCCCCTAAAGCCCAGATTTGGAACCTGTGACTTCTGGCTTTTCCTAAAACTAAAATCACCTTTGAAAAGGGAGAGATTTCAGACCATCGATGAGATACAGGAAAATATGATGGGGCAGCTGATGGTGACTGGGAGAACTGTGTGAGGTCCCAAGGTGCCTACTTTGAAGGGGACTGAGGCATCATTGTCCTATGTACAATATTTCTTGTATTTTGTATCTTCTTCAATAAATGTTTCTATTTTTTCATATTACATGGCTGTGTACCTTCTGGAAAGACCTCATTATATATAGGATTTCTCTTAAAACTCCCATCTTGGGAGGATGCCCTACTTGACTTGCCTGTGTGGCCAGTATTCCTGGGTCCATGGCTAGTCTGTTTTAACCTCTCTAAAGGAAAAACCTTCCATTTATTTCTGGGTGCAGAAGTTTCAGTTGACTGGCTACATGAGAAGAGGGAGGGTTCTTGCAGGCTGACCCTTCCTCAGGTGGATTTTGAGCCTGCCCCATTTGCCACCTTCCCTTGATCTCACAGGTACCTACCTTGTGCTGGTGTTTCCTCTCTTGGGGGCATCAGCTTGCATTTCAGGTGCTTCCCTTTCTAACCCATTGGTTTCTGTTTCCTCAGCTTCACTAAACTCTGATATCTATTCAGAGTTCAGACTGAAATCAGCTGTGCTGTCCTCTCTTCTTCCATTATCTTTGTTTTGAAGAAAGGATTTGAGGAAGGAGTGGAGATACATGCATGCAATTAAGACATCACATTTCCTTCAGTGGGGTGGGACACAGCTGTAATATCAGGTTTCCCTTCTCATAATTATTTGCCTCCTTCTTTCTCCCATATCTGAGTCCTGGCCACAAATTGTTGCATAGACACCATTCCTTGTATTTTTACTGCATTGAGCAGGCACTCTTACAAGTTTTTCCTGGTAGAAGTTTTACAGAGACCAACTAAAATGACAAAGTCAGGCACTGATCCTTGCCTTTGTTTCTTTTCCTTGTAGCTATGTTGTTGTTTATAAAAACTTATAAAATATGTTATAGTAAGATAAAAGATGTCCTGTCTTGAGGTTTGGAATAATATATGACATTCCAAATCTTTAAGAATTTAGGTGTGATCCTTCTTGGAGAACAGAGTCTTACTGGCTTTGAATTATCTTAAAGTTTGAACTAAATAAATGTTTTCTTTTCTCTTTTACAGCCGGATGCCTTGTCCCCCTAGTGATTCTTGTGACTTTGATGATCCCAGGCTCTTGAAGAACATGGAGGATCATCATGTAAGGCCAACATTTTCCCTCTAGGATATTAAACAGCTTATGGTGCATTTATATTTATGTATATGGGTAGTGCTTTGTGGTTAACACTTTTTATAAGTTAATGTAAAGCTGAATTAAATATGTGGTAAAGTTATAAAGCAACATATCAAGATTAAGACAAGCCTTACTGTAGAATTCTCTAATATGTCATATTTCTGTTGCTTATAAATAAGACTTCTACAGTACTATTTCATCATAGTTGAGAATCCACGAGCTCATATTTTGAAAAGTAATTGTAATGTCGTTTGACTAGGATAATTGAGAAACCAAAGTAAACTATACTAACATGTAGCAGTTGTAGCATCCTACTCTGTGCCAAACATTTGACATGTGTTTCCTTTGGCATCTGAGTCACCCCAGAGAGTTAATAATAAGCTTAATAGAGAGATTGGCTTGGCTCAGAGTTACCCAGAAAACAAATGTAGAAATGAGATTCATAGCTTAAGTGTTTGAATCTGAACTATGACGTCACACTATTTCAACTATTGTAACAAACCAGAATTACCTGCACCATCACATATGTTTACTTTGAAAGGATACTCTGAGCAATAGCAACTTAGAAAAGTATTCAATGATCAAAGCATTTCACAACCAGTTTAGTTGGTACAAATTAGATCTAATATTATTAATTTCTTCCTGAATAAAATTTCAGTTTTAAAATTAGGTAAACTTGAGCAAAATTAAAACTTCATTTTTCCAAAATTTTGATAAGACATATATTTAAAACTTTCTTTGAATATTCAGCAAGGAAATTTCTTCTGTTCTGTTACAGTTAGCGTCCATTTGTTAATGCTGAAATCTTCCCAGCAGTGGTTCTTAAATGTGAGTGTGTAAGGCACCACCATCCATAAGCTGGGATGCAGATGTTCTGCCTCTGCCCCTGTGATGCTAGTGACGTGGTCCCAGACTGCAGAGGGGACGCTGCCAAAGCCCATGCTCTGCGGCACAGTCATTGATGTGATCCTTTCTTGGAGTTTGATTTTAGAAGTGTATCCAGCTTCTAGGCTAGAGGTTCTACATGCAGAATAATGAGGTTTTCAGAAGAAGCTTCTTGGAGGAGCATAGTTTTAATCAAAGGATGTCAAAGAAGCAGGTGCACTGTGGGGAATTCCTTTCTGAAAGTGGACTCAGGTGTTCTTGAATTGTGTTTGGGTTGAAGGTAGTAACAGAGGTGGACGACTGAATGTGTCTGTTCAAGTTGGGATGGTGAATGGAAAAAGAGAAAGTGACAGGGTAGCAGAGAGGCTTAGGAAACTGCTTTTAGTCTAGTTTCATAGAGTTTGTTTTCCTAGCGTAAGTCAACATGTGAAAACAGCGAGGAAGCGAGATGAACGTAGTGTACTGAATAGTGTGGAATCGCAGTGTTGGCTTTGGGGTAGCAGCAACTGTTGGATCCTTATTTGAATGAGAGACTTTTATTTACTTATTCATTTGGCAAACAAGTTAAAGTCCTAATTTTTATACCAATCACTTTGCTAGGTACTAGGGGAGGAAATAAATTTATAAAAAATGCTCAAGGGACTTACATTAATTGGGGAATCAGATATAAAATCATTAAGAGCCATAGTACACTTTTGCATAAATGGGATAGGTATGATGTGACTCCCTGGGAAAGTGATTTTGTTTTGTGTAGACAGAGGAGTTTGATCTCTTCGGTGGGTGTTATGGCTGTCATAACCGGAAATGTGAGCAATGTAGCCACTCGTACTGGGTGGTGTTTGCACGGACCTAAATGTGGGCTGGCATAGAAGCCCAGGGGCCAGGGGCGAATCTTTATTTGAAGCAGAGATCCTTGGGAGATCTCTTGTACCTGCTGTTGTGATCTCAGTGTTTGAAATCTTGAAATACTTAGCTCAGTTAATTTATGTACACATACAGATACTTTCTCTGAAGCTGAACCCATATTTGCATGTCCTGGGTTTCTAGGGGTTTCTGATTATCGATCACATGTTTTTTAGCCTCTCTTCTCTTGACATTTGAGTGGAGACCCAGCATGGATAAGGATCTTCTAATGAGCATTTCTTGTCCTGTGGTCGATGGCATGCGTTTTAGGAGGAAACCCCACTCTTAAAGACTTAATGAACTTCTTTTTTCTTCCTTGCTTTACTCTTCACCTTTGACTCTCCCGAGCCAAATTTTCCTTTCTAGTGGGAAGGCCAGCAAGAGCAGGGGCAGCTGTCGCCCTTGTAAAGGGGAACCCTGACCTGGGGAGATTATCACAAGCATTGATGAAAACATGGGGACTTTTAAAGGATATTTTAATAATCTGGATACTCAGAGTTCATTGAGTGCTTAATGAGGCCATGAATTGAGGAATTTATTTTCTATTTTTTAGTAAAATCCTACTTGCCTATATTTAACATTTTCTAAAGCTTTCCAGGGTTCTTGAATCCTTCTGAGGTGTTCATCTTGGCTACTGCATTAATTAAGCCCTTTGACCTTTAACATCTAGCTCCACTGTAAGTGATGAAGACTATAGGCTCCAATATTTCTCTTTGGAAAGGTGTGGGATTGAATTAAATGAACCCAATGGCTATTTTAAAATGTTTTTTAAATTTTATTTTTAATTGCAGTTTATATTCAATATTATTTTGCATTAGTTTTAGGTGTACAGTAGAGTCCATTAGATCACTTAGTTATCTTGCCAAAATATGGTTGAAGTGAGGAAAGAAGCATTTTAGGATTTTAGCCTATGGATATCCCATATTCTTATCTAAGTTCTCTTGGGACCATTGACTAAAATTATAGCATTTGAACCAAGAACCTTTACTTTCCTCCCAAGGGAGTACTTCCATCTGCTGCAGAATATCTGTTTTTCCTGGGTCATCATTTCTGATTTTCTGGGTTCTTCAGGAGTGTTTTTTTAAGCTTTGTGTGGGCTGATAGCCAAAATAGAATTTGCCTCTTAGAGGATGAATTCTAGGAACAATTCACGTAGTCCCTTAATTACATCACTGACCAGTGACTTTAAATTTGTGGGATAATTTTCCAACATATTTTGAATCATTATGCCTTGAGCTTGGGTTTTCAGGAAGAAATTATTTTTATATGTGTATTATTCATGTACTTTATGCCTGTGAATTGGAATGCAGGACAATTTTTGACACATATAGTCTTCTGCTCTTTTTTACATTCATCAAATAAATTGATCATACTCATTTTTGAATACATAAAGCATTTTGCACAGATTAAAATCTGTTAACTGAGGGACAGGTATTGTATGATTATAATTATATGAGGTACCTAGAATAGAAACAGAGAAGAATAGAGATTACTAGGGGTTAAGGGGAAGGGAGAATGGGAGTTATTGTTTGATAGGTACAGTGTTTGTTGGGAAGATGAAGAGGTTTTGGAAATACATAGTGGAGATGGATGCACAGCAGTGTGAATGTATTCAATGCCACTGAATTGTATGCTGAGAGATAGCTAAAGTGTCAAATATTATATGCGTATTTTCCCATAATTTCTTTCAACTTGTAAAATGATGTATACACACGTACATATATACATGCCTGCATAAATTCTCCAACACTCAGTTCTTTGAAGCTGTAAATCCTTTTTATTCATGGAAGTTAGTGGAAAAAGTTTATTTTCAAACATGGAGCACTTGTCTAAATATATTACATATACCTTATCCATATGCTTCAAATTAAGATTGTCTCTCTCCCTTCATTTATTATAGAATGTCAGGTTAAGTAGGGAACCAAAGGTAAATTAATTTTGTCTTGGGGATATTTTTTGACCTTTAAGAATTTTTTCTGGCCTTCCACTCAAGGTGGAAACTTAATTTGAGTATCTTTGCGACTTTTCTTTATAATGCTCAGAAAATGTTTTGCTATTAAGTTTATTTATTTGCTATTAAATCTAAGCCTCTTTTGTGTTGTTCCCTTTTGGGAAAGGTGACATGCAGGACGAGATAGCCAGCTCTGTGATGCAGAAGGTAATTTTGAAGTGAAATTCTGAAATTAAAGTGCTTTTGGATGAAAGCCACTTTTGTGGTGTAGGCCTTGGAGAACTCGTAAATTCTCTAATTGAGAGATTTCATTGAACTATAATTTAATGTTCATTCCCTCTTCCTGAAGGCTGATAAGAAGTAGCTGTGTGAACAGTGTGATCTGTTTCCGTACAATTGCTCTCAAATGACATTCAGGTCAGGGGAGAAACTAAAAGTGTTAAAAATGTTAGTCACTATTTGTTGGTGACTAAACAAACAAACAGAGAAAAAGGAGAAGGAGAAGGGAAGAAGGAGAAGAAAAGAAAACTCCATAAAAAAATAGCAAACACAAAATTGTTGCCTGAATGTGAAAATACAAATCTATCTCAAATTTATGGTTGGCTTCCTGTTTAAAAGTGAAACATTAAAGAATTAAAGATAGTGATTTTAAAATAACCTCAGGACAAGGAAACCTGGGGTCACCCCTGTCTTCGAATATTATTCTGAAAGTGCTAGACTATGCAGACAGGTGAGAGCTAAACACGTGTGTATATTGGAAAAGAAAAGGGAAAAGTAATCATTTGTGGACAATATTATTGTCTGCCTTGAAAACCTATGAGAGTCAACTCCACCTTGGAGAGTAAGAGTTTAGTTACAATTGAATATTGAATTAATTATAAAATTACATGTTTTTACTTAGATAGGAACAGCAAACTCTTGTAAAATACAATGGAAATAAGATTACATTAATAATGTAAAAAGCAATAGTGTAGTGCCTCACACATAGTAGGCTTGCAGATTTTTTTAATGAATAAAAAGTAATAATTAATATTAATCTGTTAATAATAAGTTAATGAATAAAATATGCCAGGACCACATTTAGAAGCTTTAGAATCCTTTAATAAATAGAAATACATACAGTATTTTTGGGAGGGTGGACAGTACTAAGATGTCATTTCTTCACTAATTGTATAGATACAGTCAAATCCCAATGAAAAAATGTAAGGATTTTGTGTGTAGGGTAGGGAGGACAAAGAAATGCATTTAAATACATATCTATGACAATTCTGGTTTTGTTTTTTAGAACACATAATAGGCCAGGGGGCGCACTGCATTATAGGTTGTAAGAGATTATGAAATTAGAGAGCAGACTTGAGGTAGAACAAACGTCAGTGCGGTGGCGTAGAAGGCCCAGGGGCTTGGTGGGTGCTGAATCCGTCCTTGATACTGTGGTCTGACGTAGATTTGAGTGCCGTCTGTGTGCTTGGCCTGGGCATACGTTCGGGAGCAAGGCAGACAACCTGCTCCCTCTCCTGGCTCTTACAGAAGTGGGCAGCGGGGTGCTGGCAGTCTCCTAGGAGGGGGCGCTGGCTTCCTCTTTGTTCTCACCTGACTGACTACATGGGAAAGTGGGTCAGGAACAATGCTGCAAAAGAGGGGTGACGACAGCCTTCTCTGATGTACTGACTGTTAAACTGAAACTCGGAGGGTGACTAAGTAGAAGAATTGGCCAAACACCTGTCAGGGGCAGTGACGGCACAGAAGGAAGGAGGAACCTCGCTGGGAGACCTGCAGACGCAAGTGGCTGGTAGAGAATGCCAGTGGCAGGAAGAGGGTTACGTGATGAGCAGGTGCCAGATGATGGCAAACCTGAAGTCCACATGACAGCTTTCAACCTCTGTTCTAAAGGGAGCAGGAAGCCATTACAGGGGTTTAGGCAGGAGATGACCCGACCCTAACTCTGATGTATGTCAGTGGTGTTAGACTAGATGGATTAACCTGGTGTCCTGTTTGTAGCCCACAGCTCCTTGCATACAGGAGTTCCTCACCCTTCTGGCTGTGTGCCACACCGTTGTTCCTGAGAAGGATGGAGATAACATCATCTACCAGGCTTCCTCCCCAGGTGAGGCCTCTTGGCCGATGTGCCCTGCTGTCTCCTTCTCTGGAGACTTGGGTGTTTGCAGTTCCTTGTGGGAGATGTGATGGTGTAGCCTACCCTACAGAGACCCCACTATTTGCCTCCTGCCTCACACATTTTACAGGCTAAGGCTGTTTGCATTAAGACCATAGAAAGCTGGTGCTGGGTTCTACTGACTTTAGCCACACTTCGACAGTAGGAGGAGGCCCCAGGCCATCTTGCATTTCCTAGCAGAAATCACATGCTAGACAGAGCTCTCAGGAGGGAGTGTGGTTGGCTTCCTGGCTCCCCAGTACCCCTCACGGATTTTCCAACTGCTGGTGGAGCGGTGCCCTGGAGCACGAACGCTACCCACTCCTGGTGCTCTGTGAACCCGCAGTGCTGGGACGACGGCCTCACTCAGAGAAGACGTTTAGTCAGAAAGTCTTGGGCATATCATTCAAGTTCATTAGAGAATGTGGCTCTGATTGAGAATAGTAGGTATGTAACCACTGTTGTCCCCATGAATTAGTTTTAGTTCTGAGTCTTCCTGTCTAACAGAAGTGATTCTGTCTGCTCATGGTGGGAGGGAGAGTGAGTGGGTAGCTTCTGCCCCGTGAGTGCACATGAGGCCAAGCCTCTTACGCTGGTGTGGGTTTTGATAATTTGAAAAATAATACTTGCTAAGCAGAATTCTGGCATTACCAGCGCTTAGCCAATGTTTCATTAACTCTTGATTGACAGATGAAGCTGCTTTGGTTAAAGGCGCTAAAAAGCTGGGCTTCGTGTTCACAGCCAGGACACCCTACTCAGTCATCATTGAAGCCGTGAGTGACATGCCTGGGCACCTCCCCACCTTGTAGATTGCCTGCTTTTTTGAAGGCGGTGTATTTGAAATAGGATGTCTATTATAAATATGATAGTTAAATGTCTATTTTTCTTTTCTGTGAGAATCTAGTCCTGTTGAAAAACCGAGGATGTTATGTGACTACATTAGCTCATTAACATTGTTTTTGCCATTGCACTAATTTTTCTCTTTTAATGATGCTTCCCCATGAGTCAAAACCTAGATGTGAAATTGTTTGTAGTAAAGAAGTAAGGAGGCCTCCTCTTTGTTCTGTAGCACTTGGGAAAGCAGCTGCAGACCCACCTGCTGCGGGGGCAGCTTCCGCGGCTCCTGCCTGCAGCCTTGGGGCCGGTGCTGGGCTGTGCCTGCACAGCGAGGCCCTTGCTCCGCTGGCTTCATTCTCCTTGGCTGGGAGTGAAGAAATTGACTCTTAGGGGCTTTTTTATAGACAAGAGTTTTTATTTTTCCTTGAGCCAAGGGGTTTATGTAGTTTCCCTCCCAAGAAGCCTGAGGGAGAAATTTGATGGTAGGAACAAATTTCAATCAAGAATAAGATTACACAGTGACCCTTTGAGATGGGCGACAGGGGTAGCTGATGGTGAGGACTGGCCAGGCGCTGGCAGGTTTTCACGAGGACCAGTCAGAGGGGGTGCGTTTTACTCTGGTCTGGGTTGATGAGGGCCTGGAGGTAGTCGCTGCCTTCTCTCTCCTCTGCCTTTCTCCACCCCTCAATTTGGGGCCAACTCTTGGATTATAACAGTTTGGGGCTCTGTTTACCCTTAAATCCCGAGACCTGTTTAATGCATTTGGAATTTACTTCTAACTTACATAATAACTTGATATTGTTCCTGATGTAGCAGTAGTCCATTTTTTCTTACATGAAAAACCCATAAAATACTATACCTTATACAGAGTACCCATTTCTTGATATTTTCAGTTTTTTTGCTTACAGAGCACAGACATCAGCTATATTTGTTTTTACTTAATTTCATACACACAGAAGGAATTTAGCTTAGGGAAGTGTGAAATCATTAAAGTGAAACAAAGTCCTTACCAAATGCGGAGTTTTTCTCACGAAAGTGTTTCATAGCTGTAGTCTTCTTCCCCTTCATTTTTGAGGAGACTTGTATTTAGACCTTCGTGTAGGATGTTCGGTCGTGCGCTCTGCCGTGTGGGCGTTTGTGTGTGGACTAGCCCGGCTCGGTGGGGAGGCGAGAAGGGGAAGCCTGCCTCTGCTCCGCTCACGCTGCCAGACAAATAAGGGGGTCTGGAGAGCCAGCTGACGGCATCACTGTGTTAGATGCTGATGCAAAGCCAATCGATACTCCTTGGCCATTTTATTAAGCTATTAAGGCCGTATTTCTGAGAGTAAAAAAGATTACCTGAGTAAGATTTATAAGTAATAATAATTTTTACAATGCTATTTAACCATTAATACTGAGATATTACCAAACCACGAATTCTCAGGTTGGTTAACAGCTATTCACAGGACATGGCCTCACCGATCATCTTAGCAGCCCACGGCAGGGGCTGATGTCGCCGAGTGCACGGAGGGCCCCTGGCAGTCACAGTGCTAGTGCTGAGGGGGCTTACCGTGGACCCGACAAAGTTGGGACAGGCCAAGGTTCCCGTGTGCCAGTCCTCTACTTGGTAATTTGCATGTTACTTCATTATTTTCTCTCCAACCTAGGGGACAGGTGCTGTCACCACTTCTATGAAAGTCACACATTTAGTGGAGAAATTGAACTCCAATCTGTTGAACTGCAAAGCCCGTATTCTTTTCACTGTGATGTATAGGGGAAATAGAGACAAAATTTAATTAAAAAGTTTGAAAATGGCACATACATAGTCTGGAATATTCTGGGAAAAAGTGAGAGTATTGAGGTTCTAACTTTGAAGAACCTGAAGCAAGGACATTTGATTAATTGCCTTAAAATCTGATGCTGATTCATAATTCCTTATTTCTAAATCTAAAATCCAAGAAGCTTTAAATTCCAAAAGTTTTTTCCTAAATTTAGGACATAGGCATTTGGCAGCTAAATCTAACCAGAGCTGACACGAGGCTACTTACGGTCTTTATGAATCTCAGTGTGAATAGTCATATATTTTGCTGAACAAAATTGATGTGTGGTGTTATAGGATGTTACCCTGGGGATGTTATGGCGTATGCATACAGTTCTATAAAATGTGTTAAATTCTGAATTCAGAAGTGTAACTGGCTCCAAGGTTTCAGATGAGCCTGTCTAGCTTGTGTCTTTTATTTTCATGTCTTGCAAGTGGCTATGCAGCCAAACTAACTGGAGAAAAATGAGACGGTCCTACCAGAAGGGGGAGCTATGACCCCACTAAATTGACTTGTAGGAAAAATTACCGGTTGAAAAAGTTTTTGCAGGGTAGACAGAGGACAGAGAAGTGAATGAGAGGGTTGGGGAGGGAGGGGGAGGTGTGTGTGTGTGGAGACGTTTACAACTGAGGAAACAGTTGTTTTGAGATTTTATAACTTTGTATCTCAGGTAAGAGCATGTTTTTCTTTCTTCAGATGGGACAGGAACAGACATTCGGAATCCTTAATGTCCTGGAATTTTCTAGGTATGTTTCTCTTTCATGAACTTGAGATTAAAAAACAAACAAACTATATATATATATACACACATATATATATGTATATATATATAATTTCATCACAGTATTTGCATGATGATATGATTAAATATAATACTTAAGTATTAAATATAGTAAATTTATTTCCACAAGCCCTCTTCTCTCAAATTTGTGACTTTCATTAGAGAAACGAAGTAGGTAAATTTTCTTTCTTTCTTTTTTTTTTCTCCTGACTCAAATGTTATACTTCCATATCCTTCTTTTTCTTTAGATTTCCAGAACCTGGTGTTCTTGTCAGTAACCACAGACACATCTGCATGGTTTAGAGTATGTAATGAGGACATTATTTCCATTCGTTGTCACAGGTCCATCTGAGTACCCCCATGGGGATCTGGGAAACGTCCCACTACAGGCTTGGTCTGGACACAGAAGTTCCCCTGTGTGTGTTCGGGTTCAGTCTTTGCCAGTGTAATTTAACTTAAGACCTGGAACCACTTGTTGGATTGTTTGTTTCCCTAGATCATTCATGGTTTGTTGTAAATATATCTTAATTTTTGGTTTTCCCCTCCTCCTTAACGTTGAACTGTTCATACTAGAGCAAGGTTCTCTTTTTATCTCCAAAATACCTTTTCCTATTATTAAAATTAGGTGGATTTTTCAATAACCTTTGTTAAATCATTCACAAATTGTTTGCTGTCTCTGCTTTATAAGCTATTTGAAAAAGATAATTTTTTTACCCTCTTTTAGGAAATGCTTTCTAGCCCTACTCTTTAGTTTTAGGACCACAAAACTGAACTTTGGTGGGTCAGGAGGCCTTAGGGTTAGGCATTCAATGGGAGAGAGAGATGGTTGATAACAGTAGTAGTTTACGCAGGGGACAAGTTTGTTTGTGGAGGTGCGGGGCATACTAAACATCTCTCCAGACTTTTTGTGCCCCATCTCTTGTTAAAGTCCTAGAAATAGCGTGCTTTTATGTGGCTGCATTAACTGGGGCCAGCAGTTACTGAAGGGATGAGGAGAAGAAAGGGGAGTTAGATAAAAACAGGTGAATATGGATGGAGATATGAGGACATATTAAAAAAACCTAGGGGAGAATAAGAGGGAACAGAAAATCATTTGTGGTCATGAAACAGAGCCATTATGGGTTCTATTCCTCTGGGTTCTATTGCTTGCCACTGAAAAACTGTGACTCCCGATGCCGGAGTCTTATGAAAAGGAAAAGAACTATTTATTTATAATTTAGATTTAGAATAATGACAGAATTCTGCTATTAAATCCCACTCCCTTTAGAAACAAAGAAAAAAATACTCATAATCACACAGTGCTTCCTCCCCTTGCCAAACCAGGCCAGTCAGAGGTGCCGTCTCTCAGGAAAACAAATAGAAGTCTATAGTTTAGCATTCCGCTGGTCTCAGTTCAGCATCCCTGGCTTCCCCCAGTAATCCAAGCTCAGCTAGGCTCCTGCTCCTAATCCAAAACCGTATGGCTCCTCCTCATGGTGGGCCGGTGGGGGTCCTTCTGCATCCTTTCAAACCCTGTGGCCAAGACAGGCTTCTCTGCCCCCCAGCCACATGGTCAAGGGAGAACACAGCTGCCCCACACTTGGGTTTAAATCCTGGCATGGATCTTCCTCTGTAACCCCATTTCCGACTCCTTTCACGAAGGTTTATACCTGCCAGCACTCTGGTTTCTTCTGCCTTTCTCAGCTGCATTGTTTGTCGGGGCAAGCTTCTCCCCATGACGTAGGAACTGCCTCCCCGTGTCTCCTGCAGGGGCAGTCGCTGGGCACTGCCTCTGGGCTGCGTCATGGGTTAGAGTCATGCCCATCTCTTTGGCTCTGAGAGGCAGGCACAGGCTGTTAGCATTAGTAAAACACCGGCCAAGTTCTTCAGGTGTGCAAAGTAACTCTCGATGGCCCTGCCCTGCTTCTCCTTCCCCCAAGCGAGGTTAATGGGGATTTTCCCTGTTTTGGGGGACCTCAAGCTCAGCACCCTGTTACAGTTACAGTTGTGGTTCTATTTCATTTTAGTTAACTCATCTTTTTCCAGATGCTACTCAATCACGTCTTTGAAATAGTTGGTGGCAGGCAACCTTGCTTTACACAGAAACTGAAATGTGGGGGTGCATAGCTTTGCTCAAGAGCACCTGGCTACAAGGTAGCGGAGAGGAGAATTCAAACCCAGGTCAGAGAGAGTGCTGTGGTTTAGGGTGCGGAAATTTGTACCAAGCTAGAGAGATAATGTCCTCTTTGTCTTAGGAGCTTACAGTCCATTGCAGGTCACCTTATTGAAAGGCTGGGAGTCAGGAGCCCACCGTGGGTGGGATGTGTTTCAGAAGGATGAAATGTTGTCCGCAAAGGCTTGGGGCTAAAGGATTAGGGAAGGAGAACTGTGAGTATCTGGGTGAGATCGAAACCCGGTGTATTGCGTGACAGGTTAGAGGGGGTTGAGGGGAGGCTGCAGAGCTGGCTGCAGATCAGCAGGGAGAGGAGTCTAGGCAGTGGAGAGCCATTGAAGGTGAGTGAGTGAGGATGGGTCAGGATGAAAGGTGAATTAGGAATTGTCCGTGTTGGAGTGGGGAGAGGAGTGAGAGAGTGTACCTTAGTGCTCAGGTAGGGGTGTTCTGTGAGTTGGTAATTTTTTTTACTCCTGTAAAAAGACGACACAATGAGGAACTTTTGAGTTACATGGGGGATGTAGTGAAGCTTCTCTACTTTACTCTTACTGGGCAGGTTACTTAATATTTTTGAGCTGCAAAATAAAGAGAAGTACTTTTACAGAACATTGTCAGAAGGGCTCAAATTCTCTGTTTCTGTGCCTTCTACTATAAATAGCTATACTAGTGAGTTCTTATGGCAGGGAAAGGAATAGGTTTATGGCCCTTATATGTAAATAAGAGAATAGGAAATATACAATTAAAGCCTGATTTTGAGGAAAAAAGGTAGCGATAAATGGAGCATTGTCATTTTGGGCGCACCTTTTAATTTGTTTGGTGTTTAATCATAGTTCATAGGTCCTATAAAACAGACCAATGAGAACTTTCCTTTTCTTTTTTCACTTCTACAGTGACAGAAAAAGAATGTCTGTAATTGTTCGAACTCCTTCAGGACAACTCCGACTCTATTGTAAAGGGGCTGTAAGTACTAAATTTTGCGCAGCAGGGAGTTCCTGGCAGCTGCTTTGTTAATCTGTTGCTTTTCCTAAATGCTCTCCTTGTCACACTGGTGGTTTGCCCAAGGCCAAAAACTTGCAGGTCAGCCATCAAGTTAATTTAGTAGTGAAAAGGCCACTGAAGGCCAACTTGCAGGTCAGCCAACAAGTTAACTTAGTAGTAAAAAGGCCACTGAAGGCCAACTTGCAGGTCAGCCATCAAGTTCATGTAGTAGTGAAGAAGCCACTGGAGGTAGTGGTGGTGCAAATCAGGGTGGCAAAGAGAGTCAGCAAAGAGAGCTGTTGCTTAGAGTCAACAGCTGGTTTCAGAGACAGGAACTTGCTGTGTGGTAGAAAATTCTGGGAGTGTGAATTCTGACTCTAGTTTTACACTATTGTGTGGTGACTTTGGGAAGATAAAGTAATTTGTTAATAATCTTTTTATACACAGGGTGGGGCAAAAGTAGGTTTACCTTTGTTCGTATAAAAAAAGACACAGAGGTCATGATTATTGCAATAGATTTATTAACTCTACTTGTGTACTAACAATTATAAAGTTATTTTTGTCCCACTCTGTATAATTATATATGTGAAGATTGAGTATGTGTCTATATGTTTATATATATGATTGATGTTTCTTACATCGATGTCTCTCCCTCTCACACACACTTTCTCTCTCCCCACCCACCTCTCTCTCTAAAGTCTATAAAAACATATCCTTGGGTGAGGATTAAAAAAAATCTAAATGTGTTATCTTTAAGGAAAGATGTTATTGTGTTTGAACCTGACTGCAAAACTGTATCCTGTTAAATTATGATCCTTTGTGTTGAGGGAAAGAATTATTAAGCTCATTTTATATGAAGTTGAAAACCTTATTAATCTTTACCAGTCACGGGGAGAAGTTTTGTCTTATGTGAGTACACTGTCACTAGAGCTTTTTTAAAAAATGAGTAATGCATGTGAATTCCGAAGGCTTTTTATCTGGACCCGTTAAAGAATTCTATATTTATAGTAACAACTGAAATCAAGGTCACCTAGGTTATGTTCTCACATGATATGCTCTTTAAACTCTTTGTTTGTTTATTCTCCATTGTGTGCTAAGTACCACAGCAAATACAGACGGGGCAATATTGGTGGCACAGAGGAAGGCTGTAATGATAAATAGTATAAATATGGAAGTGCTGCAGTGGTGGATTTTATTTTTATAGGACTTAATTCTCTTCAACCTGACCTCCAAAACAAAATTAGATTTTTTTAAAATAAAATTATGACCTAAAACTGTACAGTTTAAAACAGTTTTGATGGATCATCAGTGTCATCCAGTCCCGCAGCCCTGCTTGTCCATCATGGAAATTGTCAGAGGGTGATGAGCTATTTCACATCCAAGTGTTTCTCAGCTGAACTGGTTCAATGAGTGGTAGGTTGTGCCCTGACTGGTTAGGAGCTTCTGCGGAGTTAAGAAGCAAGAGTGTACTTGAACAATTAGGACCCATGTTTTACCCTTCCCACTTCTGCAAAAAGGTATTATAAACTCTAGAATGAGTTATGCAAAGTTGGGGAGAAATGTAGCACCATTGAGTCCTGGATTATTTTCGTGACACCGATGGTCTTCCCCAACATGTTTTTATTTTTAATTTTTATTTTTTTAATATTGGTTTTCAAGTACATTCAATTTTATTTTATATTAGTTTCCTCTGTACAACAGAGCGTTTGGACAATTATTTAATTTACGAAATGGTCCCCTGATAATTCACATACCCACCCAGCACCATCCATAGTCATTATAATATTATTGACTATATTCCCTCTGCTGTACTTCACATCCCAATGACTGTTTTCATTTGGACACATCCATACTCAATTTGTTTTCTAAGGATCATGGCTGAATCCCACTAAGAACTGTATTTCTACTTGCCCATTCAATATTCTCATGTACAGAAAATAAACACCATTAAAACAAAGCTGTGTTTAGAATGCTGACTAGGTTTACCTAAGGGTTTGCCCGTCACAATATTTCCTTATTTTATAGGACAATGTAATTTTTAAGAGACTTTCAAAAGATTCAAAATACATGGAGGAAACATTATGCCATCTGGAATATTTTGCTACGGAAGGTTAGTGAAATTTGGAAATGTTATTTTTAACCACTGAAGTTGTTCTTTCAAGTGTCTATAACTAATGCCTGGGTTAGCAGTCATGTTTTGAATAGACATGTCATATTGTGCTTGGTTGGATTCACAGGAATACGCTTCTCTTATGCTAACCCCTGTGCCCATCCTCCACATTCCGTGTCTGTGCAGTGACAAGATATGTGGCAAATTCCACACTCGGTTACCTACATATGACTCTGCCAACTCTGAACCAGCAGGACAGAGGGGAAAGGCAGGCCAACTCACACTGTGTAGCATCAGCTTGTAGTTACGGTTCCTTTTCTTGGAAAACTCATGTTGTTATTTTCCTGTCCCTCTCTTATTATCCTTATGGCAGTGGCTTATCCCGTGTGAGGGGTACAGAGGAGGCTAATGACTTTAGGAAATAATTCACTGAACCCGTGGTGGAATAGGAAGGGAGTTCTCTGAAAGGCTTTAAACAACACTGATGTCAGGTTTTTCTACAAGTGAATGTGATGAAAGCTGAAGCCTTGCTTAAGTGTTGACTGCTGCTTTCTCTTCATGTGTTCCTAAGGCTACCTGCAGGCATGTATGTGCACACACATGCACACAACAGCACACACACGGCTGCTTGAAAGTCCAGATCTTTCACAGGGTTGCACATTGGGCTATTATTGCTGTCTTGAAATGTACTTTCTGCCACCTCTACTTGCTGATACCTGCTGCTACGCGTATAATGATGGACTGTGTGCAGCTCCCGTACTTCTCCACTGTGAACTTACTCTCATGTCTTCTCATGTACTCTCAAAATTTATAGAAAAGGCAGTTTATATTAAAATACTGTAGAGCCCTGGCTGGTGTCGCTCAGTTGGTTGGAGTGTTTGTCCCATAACCAAAAGGTTGCGGGTTTGATTCCTGGTCAGTGCACATACTTAGGTTGTGGGTTCGATCCCTGGTCTGGGCATGTGTGATCACTGTTCTGGGCATGTACGAGAGGCAACCAATTGATGCTTCTCTCAGGTGTTGATGTTTCTCTCTCTGTTTTTCTCTCTCCCTTCCTCTCTCTAAAAATTCAATGGAAAAAAAATGTCCTTTGGTGAGGATTATAAAAAATTAAAATACAGTAGAGTTGTTTTTAAATTCCCTTTTTAGATGTACGAAAGTTGAATTTGAGTGACCTAAAAACAGTTGGTTTCTTTAAAATTTTTTGAGCATGCTGGTATAAAATGGAACCACATGATGTTAGCTAGGAGATAAGGCATCCTGCTTGCCCCACTGCTAGTGGCGTCATTGGGATGCGCTGTGTCTGTTTTTCAGGCTTGCGAACTCTCTGTGTGGCTTACGCTGACCTCTCTGAGAGTGATTATGAGGAGTGGCTGAAAGTCTATCAAGAAGCCAGCACCATACTGAAAGACAGAGCTCAGAGGCTGGAGGAGTGTTATGAAATCATTGAGAAGGTAATTGCACCTGATCAAGTCATTAATGCCCATGAGTGGCTTACTCACCTCTTGAACAAAGTCTTTGAACAGGAATCTTTTGCTATAGAGTAATGTTTTCTGTTAAGTATCGTAACCATTAACTTTTAATCACTTCTTGCTTTGTTTTAAGAAACTTAGTTTTATGGGCTGTCTGCAGTGTAGCCACCTTCAGCTAAACATTAGTGATATGTTAAAAAGTTCCAGGTCAAAACAGCAGCAATGATTTTCTGGCCTTGCCTAAGATTAGGCTTAATAGGAAGAGCTCACCCTTATTGAGTTACGTGAACAATCAGAATTCATAGGCTGGTTGGACATTGTACATACTAAGAATTTTCATACCTATTTATGAATATTCTACTAATTTTAAGCTTTGCTATTGCTAGTCCATATTGCCTATTTTGATTTTTGTTGTTGTGGTTTCCTTTTTCAGTTTATCTCAAGACATTAGGTAGCATTCTACATATTGGAGTCCCTCTGTTAATGGACAAAATACTACTGAGTAAATTTGAAGATCTTACTGGCTTTACTAAGCAAGTCATAAATGGGGTAGTATCCCATCTAGCAACTAGAAGGGCTCTCTGAAGGGTTGTACAAATAGAAGGTTTTAATAGGCAGAAGGATGTGTCAGGGGAGCTATTAGCAAAAGAAAAGAAAGGATTATTTTTAGGCTAGGTCATCTTTTGTTGGGAAGGGATTGGCAGGGGGTTTATTATGCAGATTACCTCACTGGTATTTCTCAGGAAATTCCAGACTGATTGGTTTAAAATTTTATTCCTAGGAGAGGCTGAAACTGCAATTAAGTTAGTTATTAAGTTTTGGTTTAGTGACATGGCTTAGTGATAGTGACTCCATTTGGCCTACAGTTTTTTTCTTTCTTTTTTCTTCACTTTAACATCCCAAATCTGGGAGTAAATTTCAGCTTTTTCTGTTTCATATCAGCAACCATTGATCCATCCAGTTTTCAGTTTCTTACAACTCTGAAGTTATTACTCAATTGCTTTTTTCATTCCTTTGTGTTTGGGGGTGTTTTTTGCTTGTTTGTTTATTTCCCCTTTGCTTTTTTTATACTCAGTTTTTGAATTTTGTATTCACTTGTCATGTTCATGGAATTTGAATGACAGTAGACCTGAATTCAAGTGTTCATTTGCCTTGCTTTACTGGGAACATTCCAAATTACTTTTAGAGTCAGTAAAAAGCAATTAATTAGGTGACTTGAACATTCAGAGCTAGACATATATGGTGGATGCTCAAGAAATATTTGGCTTTTTCTATCAGTTGAATCAGTGCCAGGTGAGCTCAGTTTCTTTTTTTTAATCAATGAATTCATTTTTCTCATGTTTTAAATGTAACATAATACATTAGTCATTTGTGGAGTGATAGAGGAGGGCTCATGTACTATTAATATCCTCAGGATAAGTGGCCCATGTGCTCTACTTCCAGGGGATTTCTGTTCTGAGGTGCCCATGTACCAAGAAATAAATGATGAGTACTTTGTTGCCTATGTGTATGGAGAGGTTCTAACACTGGGAATAGCTTTGAATAGTCACACACAGCCAGATATCATTAACTATCTGCAAACAAAGGTTTAAGGTTTAATGTAGAGGAAGTATGATGATTGCCTCAGAACATTTTGACTGCCTTTCTTTTGTCAGAATCTTATCATAAATGCTGCTCTCAAGTATGTACCGATCTTTAATTGAAGATATCTTTCAATCTAGAACTTACTGTTACTTGGAGCCACAGCCATAGAAGATCGCCTTCAAGCAGGTGTTCCAGAAACCATAGCAACTCTGTTGAAGGCAGAAATTAAAATATGGGTGTTGACAGGAGACAAACAAGAAACTGCAATTAATATAGGTAATTAATTTTATAATAATACCCTGATGTTGGTTTTTGTGTTGTCTTTAAACTGTCTTGTAGAGTGCCTAAGGGTTCCTCAAATGCACTGAAGATTGTGTTTTATAAAACTCTTCATTCTAAGGTCGAGAAAATTATACTGAAATCAAATGAAGATTGATCTTATGAGCATCATCTGCACATTAAAAACATTAAAACTACTATTGGTAGAAGTGGGGTTCTTACAGTCTCTAAAGGAAAAGAATTTCCTAAGACCTGCCCAGGAGGATGTGGCTCTGTGGTTTGGTTTATTGATGATGCATAATTAAGGGGGTTTCCCTCCTGATTTCCCAGTGACCCATCTCTGTACATCCTGCCATGCAAAAAGTCCAATATTGTCTTCAGTAGGGCTAGAATGAAGGCCACCGCCCAGAGCTTCTGCTCCATGTTAAAGTACAGTCCACTGGCTGAAAGTAGGTAAAGGGATTAGTCAAAGTACATATATGCATGACCCATGGACATGGACAACGGTGTGGAGATCAGCTGTGGGAGTGAGGGTGAGCTGAGTGGAGGGGGGCACAGGGAGAGAATTGGGACAACTGCAATAGCATAAACAATAAAATATTTAAAAATAAAAAAAATCGCACTACTATGAACATTGGGGTCCACAGCTTCTTTTGAATTGGTGTTTCAGGATTCTTAGGGTATATGCCCAGCAGTAGAATTGCCAGGTCAAAAGACAGTTCCATTTTTAGTTTTTTGAGAAAATTCCATACCGTTTTCCACAGTGGCTGCACCAGTCTGCATTCCCACCAACAGTGCACTAGGTTCCTCTTTCTCCGCATCCTCGCCAGCATTTATTGTTTGTTGATCTGTTTATGATGGTCATTCTGACCTATGTAAAGTGGTATCGCATTGTGGTTTAATTTGCATCTCTCTGATGGCTAGTGATGCTGAGCATCCTTTCGTATTTCTATGAGCCCTCTGTATATCCTCCCTGGAGAAGTGTCTGTTCCAGTCCTTTGCCCATTTTTCACTTGTTGTTTTCCTGGGGTAGAGTCGTGTGAGTTCTTTATATATTTCGGAGCTCAAACTCTTGTCCAAGGTATTATTGGCAAATATATTTTCCCATACGATTGGTTCCTTTTTCATTTTGCTGGTGTTTTCTTTAGCTGTGCAGAAGCTATTTAATTTGATGTAGTCCCATTTGTTTATTCTTTCCTTTACATGCCTTGCTCTAGCAAGGAACATGTATAAAGGACCCATGGACAAAGACAATGGCGGCAGGGGTAGGGGTAGGCGGCGCGGAGGATTGAATGTGGGAGGTGGAGGTGGGTAGGGCAGGGGAGAGTATTAGGGGGTGGGAAATGGGGACAACTGTAATTGAACAACAATAAAAAAAAAAGAAAGAGAGAAAATGCAGTCTAGTCCTGCATCAGTCTAGCTTAGCATGTATTTCCAACTATAGTGCATTGCTGTGCTTTGGAATTCAGGCTGCCTCCTGGAGGCCATAGAGAGAACAGGTGCATGCACTGTGTCAGTGTGTGTCTCAAGCAAGAGAGAGAGAGAGCTTCCTCGTTCCCCTGGGGTTGTATCTAGGAGCTGGGGTTTGGGATGGAGCAGGCGCTTTCTCAGGATGACCAATCAACTTCCCAAGTTTTTTGGGCTTTGGATAGGGTCTTTTCCCCTGTTAGACTGACATGTCTCTGTGGTCTAGCACCTCTCCTGCATCCCCCAACAATCTGGTACCAGATGGGGGAAGGGAGGGGGAAAGGGAGGAATGTGAACCCCCTGGTGGAGCACTGGTATGATCCCCTGGAATGATCCCCTGGAATGTGAAAGGCTGTAGCTTCCTGGTGAAGCAAATAGGCTCCTGCTTCCCAGTTTATTAAGCTCAACATCTAGTCTCTTTTGCTTCCCTTCTCAAATATAGCTAAACACCAATAGTAACAAAACTATTATCCTGAAAAGTATTAAACACACTTATATGGGACATAGAATTTAAGAGTTGATTACTTCGATATTCTTATTTCTTTCTTTACAAATTTTAGTTTTAAGAGACTAAGAGCATGTTTTCACTAAGTTCAAATATGCAGTTATTTTATATAATTATGAGTATTTGAATGATTTTACCAATTAATAGGTTTTTCTAAAAGTCTTGTGTTTTTCCCTTCCCCATCTGGGTTGACATCCTCTTTGCTTGCTAAGTATTACAGATATGAAAATTGAAGAAAAGGAATTTAAGTCCAAATAACTTCATTAGTCTTAAAGAGATATATTTAAAACATGAAACAGAATATAATTTTGATTATTTAAATTATTTTAAAATTATCTGGTACTTCTGTCACCATTATGGAGTAACAAGCCACAGTACATATGTGATAAAATGAATATATAAGGACTACATGACTTGCAATGTATTTATGGAAGTAGATGTTCATAGATCACTTCAGAAAGAAACATACTAGAACACCTGATTTTAAGTAGCTATTGTCCTGTTCAGAGTAGTCACCCTGGAATATTACTACCTGAATCTATGGTGCCCCTTTCCATAAACCTTTTCTTTTGAATCAGCTCACATGATAACCTCAATTGCAGTTACCATCTGGAGAGAATTTCATCTTTTTTTAAAAAAGAAATGTAGACAAAAACCATTACTCATTTCTTCTCAAGGCTGTAGCTAATCAAATGCAACTTGGACTCCCAACCAACTGAAACTGAAGTCACATGAGTAGCCTCTGAAGCACCAGTTAGAGACTTTGTCCGTTCATCTGTGCTAGATATCTCTCAAATGCAAGTTTTTGGAGAAAAGAATGATGAAGTTTCTGTGAAGACCCATAGTCCTTTGGTGATGCTGGCAACATTTTTATAAATGAAAGATAATACATTTGTTTTGTTATAATCTCTGTATATATGTATACGTATTGGCCCTTCAGATATAACTTCCCACATAAACTTAGCTATTGATCTAGGGCTCATATAGAGCTTATAAAATTGACTGCTTCCCTGAAATACTTAAAATTTAGAGGTATGTTTTCTACTCTCCTAGAGCAATATGAAAGGAGTGGGTAATCCCCACCAGTTAAAGTTGAACTGTAGTGATAAACTTTTTAAATTTTCTAGATCTTGAGTGTTCCTGTTGGACTAACAGCCTTTCTTCTTCTTCTCCATCTTCTCTTTCTCCTTCTTCTTCTAGATTTAATTTATTTATTTTTAGAGAGAGGGGAAGGGAGGGAGAAAGAGAGGGAGAGAAACATCAACATGTCGTTGCCTATCGTGTGCCCTCTACTGGGGACCTGGCCTGCAACCCAGGCAAGTGCCCTGACTGGGAATTAAACAGGTGACTCTTTGTTTCATAGGCCAGGGCTCAGTCCACTGAGCCACACCAGTCAGGGCCTAACAGACTTTCTATGTCCCCAGCCCCACACTTAGCTTCCCTGAGTGCTTTCTAGTGTTTGCATGAGAAGCGAGCATGCAGGAAAGGGAGCAGCCACCTCTCCCTGCCCCTTAGCCAGATCACCCTGCCCTTGGGAGCACACATGTGCCCTTTCCTGCTTGCTCCTTCTGTTTTTATGAGCTTATCAGAGTCTAGCCAAGTTTAGAATAAACACAAGTAAAAGCAAAGGCCTTCAAATTAACCCAGAAAACACAAATGGCTTCTTATTCCTGAAAGAAGATTTTGCTTGCACACAGATTTCTCTAAGCCTTATGAGATAATTGATACCTGTCCAGTATATAAATAACAGTTGTATTAATTTGTGCTTTTTATCAAAGAATGTATTCTTTGAAAAACATTTTGAAATGTTTGAAATGTGTAGCGACATTTGTTATTTTGGTTCCAGAAGCACTGACATCCATTAGGTATTTTAAAATTGATCTTTTTAGCCAATGCTCAGGACCACTAGAAGATGATGCCTCCTACTTATAAGCTGATTACTTGGCCAAAGTCTTATATTTATCCTGGAGATTTTCTCTGCTTTCTTTTGTGCTAGTGTGTCAGTAGAATTAGGACATCTTTTGGGTGTTACAAAGTTGGCTTTCACCAACTAAGGAACTGATGTTCTTTGGAAAAACTATGTCTGAATTGTTTTTTCACATTGCATTCAGAATTCAAGTTGGTAACCCTGGGTGATACTGAGGGGTTAAATGTCATTTTCTGACTCAGGATATCTGTTGAGCCTACACATGACACAGAGGTGTAGACATCCAGATATTTTATTAGGCTCATTGGTGTCAGACCACAGGCGACAAGTCCATGCAGCACAAGGTCATGCACCAGATCGCCTGGGTTGTGAGCCTGTGTTATTGCCATGTATTCCTTATACCCTCATTAATATGAACCATGATTGATCTACCTCCTATCATACTGACTGGATACTCTGTACATTGTAGTACATTCTATGTGCACTTTAGGGTACCCAGAAGATATTTGGGAAGAAGATCAAGTGTCTGACACTTCTACTCCTAGATGAAATAAGGGAAAGAGAACCGATGAATAGCATGTCTGCTAAGAGCCGGGTTCCATGCTAGGTGTGCTTTCTGGACTCATTCTTCAGTCTTTACACATGAGCAGTCTTAAGCTTGGGGGAAATTCAGAATTTACAAAGGTTACACTCTGCTTAATGACCAAACAAATACTGGGTCTCAGGGTTCTTGACTTCTGGTGCAGGGCTCATTTTAAACAGATTCACATGGCTTTTGCAAAATCCGTTCCCTGAAATTTGAGTTAGCAGACTAGGGGAAGAATGGTTCTATAGTTCACCTATTTGACAATGCACATTGTTTTTATATTTTACCACCTCTAAAACTGGGATGTCTTATGATTGTGGACTCTTACAATTTGAAGAGTGCTGCATGTCCTTACTCGTGCATATAGTTGGGGTACACATTTAGAGGTAACATATGGTGTGTTTGGGTTCTTGGTTTTTTTTAGTATTTGATCTATCGATTATTGTTTAAGAACTGATTTTTAAAGTGTAACTTTTAGTTCATGCCTTGAAAATAAATATACTTAGTCAAAT